TATCTAGCTTAAAGTAAATCTTTATGCCTTAAAGCTAATTAAGGATTTTATAAATTAGGGGTAGTAGTGTATAGTCCTTATATATTATTTTATTTAGTATATAATAGTTTATGTAAAAGTATAACTTACCTCCCTTCTTTAGAATAAATAGCATTAGCGCGCCTTAGAAATTTATAAATTAATATATCCAGCTTTACTATAATACCTACTTAATATATTTTTATAATACCTTTAGCTTCTTCTTTACTAAAGAGTAAATAAGTCCTTAAAAAGGTTCTACTTCTAGCTTTAGATCTATTATATATATTAGTCTTTATAAGGGCGCTAGTTTTACTATTAGTTCTAAGTTAAATACCTTTGCCTTATTTATATATTTTATAAGTAAAGGCTTTACAGTTTTCTCTTAAGGTAAAGTTATAAGGGTATCCTAGTCTATAATAGCGCTAACATTAGAATATATAATAACTAGTCTAACTTAAGCTTCTTTTACCTAGGTATATACTTACTGCTTAAAAGTAATTATTATTAGAGTTTTTATTAATATTAAGTATTAAAAAAGATTATTCTTAGTAATAATAATAGAATCTATTTAATTATACTATAGCCTCCTTAGAATAATATTATTAAGTATTTCTGCTATTATAAAGCTTATAAATATTTACTTTTTAACTCCTTAGTTATCCCTTATCCTCAGGAGCTAAAGGGTATATCTATATATTTTACCTAAGTCTCCGTATACTAAAGTAGTTATTAAGTTATTATTAGGTATTACTAAGGCATTATTTACTAAGCGTTTACTTAATATATTAATATTACTTCTGGTGTTAAGGATAACAGTCTTTAACTTCTATATTTCTTCTACCTATATTTACATTTTCCTCCTTATTATAGGGGATATAGTAGGTAGTAGCTTAAATAGGTAGGCTTTACCTTCCTAAGCCCTCCTTAAGATAACTAGTTTAAAGTTTAGGCCTTATACTAGGTTAGCTAGAATACCTACTTAAGGGTTATTATAATACTTTATAATATACTTTTTATCTCTATAATATAAGTAATCTAGCTTTTTACAGCTTATAAAATAATACCCAGGAGTTCTATATTTATAATATATAATCTTTAATAAAAGTCTACGCCTTCCCTACTTTAGGGCAGCTGGGGAGTTATTAGCTAAAATATTATCCTTTATCTAGCCTAAGGGTTATTTTAGTATAATTAAGACTTCCCTTCTTTTACATAGGGTATAAAAAGTATACTTACTTTTTCTAAAATAAATAAAGTTTTTTTCTCCTTATTTATCTCCTTTACTAAGGCTGCTAATAATTAATTCTGCCCTAAAGCACTTCTTATAAAAATTTTGCTATATAATAAGGAATCCTTTATAAAAAATATACTTCTTTATCTTTAAAAGCACTTTTTAAAGAAAAATTAAAATTTTATAGCTATTATTTATATAATATAGAACCTTATTATTAGCCTTCTTGAATTATTTAATAAACTTCTTTACAGTCTTGCCCTCCCCTTAATATATAGTATTTAGCACTTTTTTTTTATTAATAGCATAAGATTAAATATCTTTAACCTAGTCCTTATACTACCTTAGGTATTATATATAAGTAATATTATTATAGTTCTATTAAAGTTCCCTTTTAAAATAATTAATCTAATATTATTAAGCTTCTTTTTTAAAATAAAGGCTTGCCGCAAAAACCTTATATACTTTATTAATAATCCCTTTAAATATAAATAAAGCGTTAAATTTAAAAGCATAATCTTAGTATTCTCCCTAAGTCTCTTCTTTAAATATAAGCTTTAGAAAGTATAGCTTTTAATCCTTTATATAGTTTATTAACTCTCTTACAGGCTTTTTCTAAGGAGCTATAATAGGTAACTTAAAGAGGGGCCCTTTTTATAAAAGGAGCGCTTTAAATTCTTTATCTTAGAAGTTAGTGGGATCTACTAGATATTAGGTAAGCTTTTTTTTCTAATTTTCCTTTATAATAGAGACTATAAAACTAAGTATTTTATCCTTAGTTAGGGAGGTATATTATCCCTTAGAGGGGGCTAGGGGATTTAAAGTAATAGGTTAAGGGTTATACTATATATTAGGAATTAGGGTACTAGTTTAAAAAGTAGATTTTTCCTTAAGGGGCACTGCGTAAGGTATAGGGCTTTACTATATACCTTTAAGATATAACTAGCTTTTCACTTACTTCTAAGCAGCGGCCTTTATTATCCTTACTTTAACAGTCTCTTACCTTTTAAAAAGAGATAAACCTATTAAAGATAGCAGCGTATAAGAGAGTAATAGAGTTAAGGAGAGGTTTTAGTTGTCACAAAGGGATAAAGCAGCTAGGAGGCATATAATAACTGTATTTATCTTTAACCTTCTTTAGAAATAAGGGGATTTACGCTCCTTTATATAGTAAATCCTAGCTGTAACTAGCCTCTAAGCAGCAACTTCAGCAGTATTCGCTGGCTCCATGGCTCCATTATGCCTCTTCCTTCCTCAGACCCCTAATAGTTCATTAAGGTTGAAAATCAAGTTCAATAAATCTTGGAGTCTTGGAGCCGCTTCATCGTCGTCGGGATTGAAGCAATCGTCTAGGCCGTCAATAACGATATATATAGAACGAAACTTTTTCGCAATTTCGTAACATAATGTAGTTATCATCATATCGAATGTTGGGTTCTCATGCCGGATGTTAGATGTTGGGTTTGGGACGTTAAGGTCTCCTTCAGCCAACCGCTTGAGCTGTTGAACCACCGATGAGAATGTTGTCAGCTGATTGGCAGAGTTCCACTGTTAACATTGCGACTGCTTTGTTTGAGTGAATCGGCCCCCTTGATGGTTTCGGACGACCCAATTCAGAACAACAAGACTTGTCAGTTGGCTGATTTGCTTGAGTAGAGCGAGCATGCCAGTCAATCGGAGTTTTCAAACCCGGACAAAGAGAATCGGATCAGCCGCACTGATCCATGTCCTCCGTTAGATACTAGCTGGCGGGCTTGTACAAAGCCATCTTGTCCAAGAGACACCACTGCAATTGATCGCCATCATTTTACTGGATCGCGGCTATCCTTGCTTCAAACAAACAAATTCTTGCCAAAAAGAATATATCCAACACGTTAAAGGGGAGGCGAGTTTGGCGCTTCCTTGAACCCTTTAGTAGATGGATGATCCAAGTCAAGTGACCTAATCCTGCTCATATTCGACAGGATAAGAATCGTGACCCCAACATGTATTTACATATTGGAACAGCCGTACAGGTTGTGTTGGCCTTTGTTCCAAGTCAAGAAATTTTTGGAACAATTAGCTTCAAGTGGCAATATTGTCCAAAAAAGGTCACTCTTCGGCAGGCAAGCAAATAAAGACAAATAAAAAGATTTGCCTTTGGGTTGGTTGGTTATGTCCCTCGTTCCTCTTGTTGAAAAGATGCTCCATATATTTTCCCACGGAGTTGATCGTGTTTGGAACATCTTTCTGCACGAACGCCCCCAGCTTGCAAGGATCCCAAATCTCAGTATTACAACAAACGGATAATCAAGTTCTTTGATCTTGACCTAGGCGCTATCTTAGAGTCGTGCGGGCCTTTGTGATCATACCACGGCAATCGCGTTATCCAATTCAATTCAGTGGAAGCGAGAGAACTTGTGATTCGAAAATGAAGGTTGATGGCTGAATGTCGCGGTCGTTACTATCTATTCCGACCATACGGAAGACTTTGCAAAGGTCTCTGCGCGGCTGAATAGAAACTTGTAGACCGTCTGGGGAAGCATGTGTTCCTTTATCAGGCGGCGCATCTGGCCCGTTTTATGAGCCTCCTCATTGAAAAGACGTTCCAAAGAAGCAAAGAGACTCAGGAAGATTTGTTAAGCTTCTGGATTCTCCGAACATTCTTCTTTTGCGGCAAACTTCTCTTTACACACAACAAGACAATTACAAATACAACAAGAGTTCATCACAACTACATGTACTAGCGGCACTCTGGGGCCAGCTGGAGCTGGTCGATGTCTTATTCAAAGAGGATAACAGCTCTGCGACTAAAGTGAGCGCTCGCGGCTCTTTTCCCTTGCAGGAAGCGGCAAAGTCCGGCGTTGTCGCAGTTGTCAACGCCCTGCTACTGGCCTGCCCCGATATAGTTCACAAAGTCGACAATATTGGCTTATAATATTCGATCAAGAATTTCCAACGGCGCAAACGACTGAAGTAGATCACAAATTTTAAGACATTAAAGGATTAGAACGCTAAGTTTTACGGAGAACATGCTTTGAATGAATGGCCTCACTGCTGCGGCAACATCAGTCACAATTTCACAATTTAGAAGCTTGACTGTTTAGTACACACATAGCTACATGAACGCGCATATATTATAAAAGCAGCCACTTGAGACAAGATTCTGAGAAATACCTGGTAAGAGATTACTTCTTTCGATGTGCTATACAACTCCGCTTTTCGGCCTTACATTGTGTAGCCATCTCAATATATCTCATGAAAAAATGCACTCATGTCAGATGCGATGCGTAGAGTATTCACTACTTGAGAACGCAAACATTCTTATATCATGAGAGAGAAATTCGAAACACGGCAAGTTTATATTATATTAACGTACATTGCTCAAAAAAAAAGAAAAAAATCTTCATCATTCACCCCCGAATTAATACAACCATACAAATCTCCCGCAACAAGTCTGGCAAATATCTCGGCCATGGCTCATTTGACTAAGCGCTCTACACTGTCTCGTGAACTTCAGCATAATGTATTCAAGCTCCAAGCAAGATGATACAATGGTGATATGTCATGGATAATATGTGTAGGTACTGCGCAGATGCGCCTCACCAAGGCTACGTAGCCGAATAATAAATAGTCATCGATTATATGCAATCCCTGCCATACAAGACTTCAGAGGCAGCTTGAGCGGCGTCGAAATTCCAGATCAAGACACTTTTATTTCACCTCAACAATTGCTCTGTCTCAATAATTCGTGTCTTCTAAGGATCAGTTAGCCGCCTGCTTTCCCGAGCCTAGCTATGCGTACTGCTCGTGCAGCAAATTCTTCAATGCCGGGCCATTTCTCTTCCAATGAGCAAATGAAAAGCCTCTTAGCAAGTAGATTCTCTGTATGACGATGCCGAGATAAGTTGATCTCCAAGGCTGGTAATCTTACAGGGAAAGAGCCGAGAGGAACATACAGATATTCCTTGGCTGAGTCATGACTGAAGCACACAATATCATCTTGAACCCCCAACAAGAACAAGAATCGCCGCTTGATTAATGTTTTCAAGATGACATCATCTGACAGCTGGACAAGAAGTCGGAGCTCGGAGATCGTAAGTGGTCGGTAGGCGGCTGCCAGTATAGTAACAATCTCCCCTAAATGATCATTTTCTTCTGCTGTCAGCAGCAGCTGCAGCTGCAGCTGTTGGTTGAAGTGAACGTATAAGCCTTCGATTTCTTCTTCAAGGTTGCAGGCTAAGTAAATGGCCTTCATAGGGTCTTTCTCTATAATGCTGCACGCTAGCGTGATCCAGAGAAGGTTTCCTTTCGATCTTTTCATCAAGATGTTTTCCAAATCGTTCCGTGAAAAATGGTTCCGGGAACGATCTCGGAGGCCAGTTCTGTTGAAAAATGTATCAACCTGCATTGAAACTAGCTTCTTTGCAGCATCTTTCAATTTCTCATTGTCACCAACGTTTGCTAGTGTATAGCCAATTCCCTTGATAGCTTTAGAGTTTTCGAATGATCTGATCGAAACAATCCAGTGAATCTTTGGTGACAAATTGATAGTCGTGGAAATGAGCTCGAGCAAGTTGGTCAAGTCTTCACTGCCGTATTTGTCTAGACCGTCTAATATCATGTATGTTGTATTCGTATTGGCCTCGGAAAACTCGCGCAATGTTTTGCCTAAATCGTCGAAGGAGGTGTCCCGTTTGGGCCCAGACAAAAACCGGGAACCACCGTCATTATTCCCTTCGAATTGCTCCTGCAGTGACGAGAGGCAATCTTGAATTGTGTTCTTATCACCAGAAAAATGCGTGACCACTTGATGAGGGTCTGAATGGGCGTACCATTTTCTCTTCAGAAGTAGCCTGGCAATATGTAAGAGCAGGTTTGTCTTGCCACATCCTGCTTCGCCAGTCACCAACAGCAGACGACTTTTTTCTTCAAAGCTATCGCCTAAAGCAAGCTTCCCAAGACAAGAAAATTCCCACAAATCAGGCTTAGTAGTGGCATCCCGCAAATCTTGGTGTATATTCCAGTAACCGCTCGGTAGCCTTGTTAGCCCACACGATTCTTGAAGCATATGATGAACTCCATCACTAACTTGTGAGATTTTGAAGTCACCATTTCGCATTCATGTGGATATATGTGCCGGAAAATATAATCTTCGGTGGAGAGAATGCCAGTCATCTCCAATTCGTGTATGAATGAATATAGTTCATCATCGTAGAGCATACGAAGCCGTCTACCGGGCTCAAGCTAAGTGTACTTTAGCATTGACTATTTACAAGATGCATCCTTGAGAGAATAAGTACTACTTACAGGTTGCATAGGTTTTGCAAGATGCAAACGTTTCTTAATTTCATCTTTCGACTTTGCCAATTCTTTGAGTCTTGTTGCAAAACGTGAGTAAGTGTCCTAATGTTGTTGTAGCGTCAGTCTTTAGTGGTTCCATTTTCATTCTCAATGAGATGTAACTTACATGACCATCTGCATGTCTTTTGACCAATTTAGCCTTGCGAACTTCCCAGACGTCTTCCAGTTGTTTAAAGTCAGAGAAAGATACAATACAGCCAACCAAATCGCGCAACGAATCGTAGAGAGGTTTCTTGAGATAGTATGCAGGGACAGATGCCACCAGTGTATTTTCCAGCGAGCTGAAAGCCGTTAAGCATTCGCGAATGATATGTCTTTCATCTTCAGAGCTTGAGGTTTGACAGCGGAGTTGCCGGCAGAAAGCGTCTGAAAGGACATGAAGGTTATTCACCAAAATAGATACTTCCTTCAATGGATCCTCGAGGGAATATGGTACTTTAGGCAATTCATCCTCTGGGGAATTTGATTCTTCCGGCAATGGATCATCAAGGGAATTTAATGCTTCTCCCAACATATACTCTAGGGAATATGGTGGGGGGTCCATAATGTATGTAGAATTGGAAGACGCAAGTTCTCTCGGGGATTGACATTATCCCCCTAGTCAAGAGCTGAGTCGACACCTCTTTATATAACCTTGGCCTCACAAAACTGCAAATTGCTGTGATACCAAAATGAAGCGACGCCATGTTTGAACAAAGGAGTCTGTTGTGGGCTAGTTGGCGGAATTCTAGTCTTCACATCGCGGCTTCTTTGTTTGAGTGGATCGACGTACCTTGATGAGTTTCGACTTGGAAGAGAAACTTGATAGGTTAGTTAATTTATTTGAGTGGTACAAGCTTGGCGGTTAGTCGATGTTGTCAAACGTAAGGACAAAGGAGCCTGTTGCCTGTTCACAGACGATGAATCAGCCACTGAACCATGTCCTCTGCTGAGTTGACTGATTCGCTCGAGCAAAGAGGCATACTTCTTAGTCGAGGTTATCAAACTTGGGCCAAAGAGCCTATTGTCTGTTCACAGAGATTTCAGCGTTATATTACGTCTACTTTGTTTGACTGAACCGTCTGCTTTGATAGTTCAGGCCACTATTTCAGACCAAAGAGACAGGCCGGCCACGCCGATCCATGTCTTCTATTGGATTTTGCATCTCGCGAGCTTACACAAAGCCATCCAGTCCAAAAGAACACCACCGCGATTCATCGCAGTCATTTTATTGGATCACGGCTACCCTTGCTTCAAACAAACAAAATTACATTACATCTCAATTCCTTTTATCCCTCTTGTACTTGCCAACCTGTTTCGGCTGGCTACCATACGACCTCCTCGCCTGCACCTTGTCCCGTCCCATGCTGGCCCCCAGCGTAATGTCCACGCGCGGCGGCGTGGGGAAGCCAAAGCTCTTTGCAATCTTGGCCAGGTCCAGCTTCTGCACGTCGTACACGGACCGCAGGCTGTGGCTGGCGTAGGCGTGGAGGTAGGACTTGAAGGCGTCCTTGGCGCTCTGCTGCAGGTAGTAGTTCTTGCCGATGAGCTTCTCGAGCTGGGACTGCACATTGATGATCTTTTTGCGGGGGAACTCGAACTCGACGACGGGGACGCGGGCTGCTTTGAGGTAAGACAGGAAGCCAACCTCATTGGGCTATGAAGAATGTTAGTCAGTCTGAACGGGAGATATGCGGATGACAACCTTACCTGAAGGAAGAGCAGACTTCGTCCCTTGGCATCAGTGCCTCGGGCAGTTCGTCCCACACGGTGGATGTAGTCGCGAGTGTTGTCCGGGGGGTCAAACTGAACAATGAAATCGACGGCGGGGATCTAGATCTTTCATTAGTAACAATACTTTTCACCAATAACGAGCCGGCAAGATACTCACATCCAAGCCACGAGCGGCAACATCGGTACAGATCAGAATACCGTGCGGCGCATTGCTAAACTCAAAGAAGGTGTTGGTCCGCTTCTGCTGCTTCTGCTTGCCGTGCAGATCCAAAACAGGGCAGTCAATGTAGTTCAACAGCTCGGCGTAGTATTTGACAGAGGCACAGCTGCTGAAGAAGACAATGACCTTCTTCTTCTTGGCCTGCATTTTTCGGAGGAAGGAGAACAGCAGCAGGAAGCGCTCGTCACCTTCGCAAAGGACGTAGCCCTGCTCCAGACCATCGACTGTGCTGTGCTGCTTCTCTTCGTCGACGTTGATGTATAGCGGGCCGGGTCGCAGAGAGATTCTGGCAAGATCCTCTATAATTCATATTTAGTTAGACACGCGCGCGCTACAACAAGTGTGAAGAAAGGCTCGGAAGATACTCACCAACTTTGGTTGTTTGTGTCGCAGAAAACAGCATAGTCTGTCGGTCCTCGTTTGACAGAACCTTGACAATCTGTCTCATTTCATCCTCGAAACCAACTTCCAGGATTCGGTCCGCCTCGTCGATGATCAAAGACTTCAAGTTCTTGAAAACGAATTGGGTGTTGAGAAGGTGATCGAGCAGTCGGCCGGGAGTGGCAATCAAAAGGTTGACACCCTTGGTCAACTTTTCAACCTCTGCTCTCCGGTTCGCTCCGCCAATGACGATACCATATGTCTGTGAGTGGTGCTTCATCAGCTCGCGTGCGACGCCGAAGATTTGGAGCGCGAGTTCTCGAGTCGGGGAGACGACAATGACGCCGGTGCCGTTGCGGGGCTTGAATCGCAGGGAGCTGAGGATCTCAATCGCGGGGATCAGGAATGCGAGCGTCTTTCCGGAACCTGTCTTTGCGGCACCGAGAACGTCCTTGCCCGCAAGAAGAGGTGGAATGGCCTATTTGAGAAGCAGGTTAGTACAAGTTGTGCCATTGGAGATGGAGATTGATTGGGTAGACTAACGCTGCGCTGAATGCTGGTCATCTTGGTGAAGCCCATCTCCTGAATCGCCTTCATCGTCTTCTCGGACAGCTTGAGATCTTCAAACTTTTGGGAGTCGGCCAGCGTCGATAGAATGGGCGCAGAGTTGTTGGGTATCACATCTCCATCGACATCTCTGGCAGCAGGTCCGTCTGCAAGATCTGATCCGGCATCTGATTCTCCATCCTCATTGTTGTCCTCGTTTGAGACAGCCTCTGCTTCTTCTTCTTCTTCCTCCTCCTCATCCTCCTCGTCTGCTACCTCATCTTCAACCTCAGGCTCGACCGGCGGCGGGGGATTCTTAAGCTTTTTTGACTTTTTCGTGGCATCAGAAGCACCCTCAACCTTGTTGCGCTTGCGCTTCTTGTTCAATGTGGCGGCATCCATTGCGACGTTGGTGATTTGATTTGACGATGCTCCAGGCAGTTTGTAATGGAAGGCTCTGCAGCAAGAAATATTTCACCAGCAATCGGGAACCGATAAGAAAAAAAAAGTTGCTAGTTCTGCGATTTGCAAAAAATTGGTTCCCACTTGTCACAGTGGTGGGGCTGCGCCACAGATGCCGATGCGAACTAGCAAAGACACCAGCCACAGTTGGCCCCGATGCCACAACATCGGTACAATTGCTTTGTACCGTCTAATTGGAAGCAAGTCACCAGAAGCCGTCGATTATAAAGTCCATCATATTAGGTGATCTCGTAAGACGGCACCCAGAGATATGGTTCTTATTCGAGGTTGATCAATATTTCCTTTCTTTCTTCATTGTATATTCATCATCATTCTCTCACATTACAACCGACTCTTGGCCGTCAAATACGTCCCTCCCAGCCTGAGCATCTCAACCGCCTCCTCCACCATCTCAGCAACAATCTCCCCAGCAGGCTGAATCTTCTCAATCGCACCCGCAACCTGTCCCATCAAGTGCGGCATATCCACGTCTCTGCCCTCGTCCAAATCATGCTCCAACGGCACAATTCCCTTGTCGCACAGCGCCTTGATGTCGCCAGGCCGGTCATGCCAGCTCTGGATGTAATCATTCGTCCTCATCCGCAGCGGCCGTCCTGATATCACCAGCGTCCTCTCCGTGCCCTCAAAGCCGCAAGTCACGACGGCCTCTTTGGCCGCCTCGCTGCATCCAGCTTCCACCGAAGCCACGAAGCGGGTGCCCACCCACACGGCCACCGCTCCCTGCATCAGTGAGCTGGCCAGACTGCGTCCGTTGCGGATTCCTCCCGCCGCAACGACGAGAGCCGTCGAGCCCTTGAGCATGGGAGGCTTGTATTTCCTTGCTACGTCGACGACGGCCGGGATCAGCACTGAGTTGGCAATGTCGCCTGTGTGACCGCCTCCCTCGCCACCCTGGGCGCATACAATGTCCACGCCGAGATCCAGCGCCTTGACCGCGTGTTTCGGGTGTCCCACCATGTTCATGACCAAGATGCCGTTCTTGTGAAGCTTCTCGATGATGTACTTGGGTGGTACACCGACGGCACTGACGAACAGCTTTGCGCCACTGTCGATGGTGATGTCAATCAGCTCGTCCAGCTTGCCGCCTGTGTAGTCGTGATTCGTCTTACGCGCGTTGCCTCCGATCTGTGGCAGCGCCAAATCAACGCCGAATGGCATGTCCGGGCTCTTGAAGTTTGCCTTCATCTCAGTAATGATCTCGCGGAGCTGGTCGGGCGTGTACTGGAACCCGCCAATGACACCGAGGCCGCCCGCATTGGACACTGCTGCAGCAAGGCGACCTCCAGAAGTGCGCGCCATGCCAGCGAGGAGGATGGGATGCTGGATGCCCAAAAGGGTGGTGATGGGAGTGGTGATGGGTCCAGTCGGCGCCATGATGATGATGGAGCGAATGAAACTAAGAGAGCGATAGTTTGGTGACTCCAAGTGATGTAAGTGACGGCCGTGGTGAAGTACGACACGATATCCGAACGCTATGGATAGTCACAGAGCAGCCAACAGTGATACAGAATGGGTATTAATAGACAGAGGGGGGAGAAGCAGCTTGCAGCAAGACATGGATTTGTCCTTGATGGCACCGGAAATTGGATCCTGACGCTCCCTTCTGGGTACACGTAAATTAGTAGGTGAGGTGGCTCCCAGCCCGTTAATATTCACAGGCTACCTGTACCTAGTACCTACGCTGGTCCCTGAAAAGGGCTCGGCTGCGGCAGCGGTGGACGATTCGCGGGGAGATACTTTGCGGGGAAGCGGCCCCTACCGAGGTATCAAGTGCGCCCGTGAGACGAACTGCCGTATCATTGGCATCGGCATCAGCAGCATTTTTATGAGAGACAACGGTAGTCTGGAGCTGTAACGGGTATTGACGGCAGTAATGAAGATGCGCAAGTCAAAATTTGATTCATGGGCTTTATAGATAGAACAACCCCCAACCTTTGCTGGTTGGGCGCGGCAGTGGCAAGTAAAGATCGCCGCCTTCTCTAGCATACAGCCATCACTAAAGCACGATTCACATATATATCATCAAAAGAAAAAAAAATGTGTGATTCATCATTCATCATTGTCATCAATCGATATCAGTAAACCCATGTCTACTTCACGTCGTTCCCACGCAAAGCAGCTCCCGGGCGTTGTAAATCTTCTCCCAAAGCCCATCATAACAATAAACTGTGACATCTAGATATCCCATGTCAGTAATACATATGGCCTTCACGGCCAAGCATCTCCCAGCTAACTAGGTCTCAGCAGAGCTAGCAATCAACCCCAAAAAAAGCTTCAGTGTATTCATCCAAAATGCGGCAGCCGCGCAGGTACAAAAGCGCTCTGGACAGGCGGCAATGCCTTGTCCTTTACCGATATCTCTAAATCACCTCCGGATAACCCGGAGTCGTAATGTGCTTCGTCGTCGCTATCCTCGTCGTCGTCCAAGTGAATCTCATGCGGCTCTTCAGGTAGATATTCATCATCTGCCACATCTGCTGGTTTCGGCTCGGCTTCCGTTTGCAAACCTCGCTCCAGCGCCAATTGAGCTGCGGCCTCTTTCTTTTTTGCTAATTCTTGGTCTTCTTCTCTGCCCAGACGCTCTTCTTCCAACTCCAAGTCCTTGAGTGATGGTAAGAGTTGAGCATCTTGTGCGGGATCCTGCGTCACCTGGCCGAAAATTGCCAGGCCTAGCGAGTCTTTTGACGCAACCGAGCCAAGCGTCGTCCTCGACACCGTTCTGGAGACGGTATGCACCGGTCGTTTTCCTTTGCTACTCGGCGTTCTTCCGCTCCGGGCGCTACTCCTATCATCTCTCCTAATCATGTCATAGGTCACCTCGTCATCGAGCGCCACCGCATCCTCGTCTCCTTCGCCGTCACTTGGAAATAAATCACCACGGGAGCGATATGAATCCGACGTCCCACCCGATCCCGTAGTACCGCTCCGCTTCCTTGACCGGGACGGTTGTAACAATCTCTCGTGGTCCGAGTCATCTTCCGCCCCCAGCAGCGGCTGTGACTCGGTGTATTCGTGTTTTCTTGTACCAGGGTGGTCCTGTAGATCTGCCGCACTAGGTTTATATCTCAGAGTGCCACCCATTTTCCAAGGGAGCTTGCTCAGAAAGCCAATGGGTTGGGTGCTGGGGATAATGGTGGGGTCCTGTTCGCTGTTTTTCCTCCTGGCTCCCCGTGTGCCGTAGCTCATGCCCCTCTTGCGTCGGGGCTGCTCGACCGTCTCACCTCTCCTCTGGCTGCCAGAGCCCGCCAAGAGACGATCCCAGTCTTCCCCTCCCCAGTTGCCCAACAGGCCGCCGCTCTCCTCTTCACGATCCCAGTCATCGTAAAAATTAAAACTGTATTCTGTCCGCTCGCGAGCGCGCTCTCGCTGCCGTCGAAGGCGCTCTTCGGGGTCGCCCAGACACACGGTTGTGCATTGCTCAATGGCCCCTCGCAATGAGCCCAGACAAGGGTTGATGTAGTGGTGCTGGAAGGTCCAAATGCCGGCGGCGGCGTTCTCAGTCACCGTCTCTGCATCGTGTGTAATCTGGTTCCAGCGCTGACGCAGACGCGGATCCTCGAGAAAATCCATTGCTGGCGGCGGGCGGGATGGCTGATTTATGGCTCTGGGAAATCGTGCCCAACTGGTGACGTCGCAGACATGGGACGACAACGGCAAGATGGCTAAGAACAAGCGGCACGCAGCGGGCACATCAGTGTGCCATCATCGGCGGGCAATTGCTGGCAAGGCTGAGAAAAACGCAGTCGGCTTCTCGCTCTCGGCAGGCGGCGCGATTCGCACGATGCTCGCAATGTTGGTGACGAGTTTGAAACAATGTCAAGATCAAGCCATTCGGTGTTTTTCGATGGATTAGGCTGGTCAAAAGCCTTGGATGAAACAGGTTGAACAAGGTGGCACGTGCAGACCATCCCGGATTATGTAAGGCAGCTTGGCTTGGGGTAAAGTGGGCATGAAGCTCTCCACAATGTTGTTAGTGCACAGGCTACTGCACTTTATTGCCATTGCTTTTTCTACAGTAAGTGGCTTGAAGACAGTTTGGACGCCGGCTTTGGTGATGCAAATGATACGATGCAGGGCGTCTGTTGCTGAGGCTTTATGTACGAGTGCTCGATTCATGACCTGCATGTACCTCGGTGTGGTTTACAGTAGCACAATGTCTCATGTTATAGTAGTCTAGGCATGCAGATGCTGCAAGTACAGTGCATTGCAGTACATGAACGCCGAGTGATGTAAGCAGCACGATTGAGCAGACAAGGGGAATATGCGACAAGACGACGAGGCGTTTTGACTTTGTTACACTGCATGAACCCCGAGTTTCAATTCTTATGAAACTTTATTAACGAGAAAACGAGAAAATGGGGACAGATAAAGAAGGCGGATGTGTGATATCTTTTTGATGCTTACTCGGTACCTGACGCGCTTACACTAATGCACCATATACGATCAGACACCCTCTTACGAAAAGCTAAATAAATTAACACACTCTTGGATAACAATGCCCAATATCAACTATCATAATTCCCCTCCTATCAACAACACACAGAGCTTCTCATAGTTCCACCAGCTCCATCAAAACAACGGCACAGTGCTCAGGTCCCGCGGTCCAATATTCGGCCTCTTGTAAATACTCTCCTTGGACTCTCCACTCTGCACTCGTCTCAGCATATCTTCAGGATCAAAGTCCACACCAATCGGGTTCTCCACAAAGTCCTTCGACGTCATATACGCATCCTGCTTCTCCAAATCATCAAAGGCATCGATGAATGTTTCCAACACGTTGCCATCCGGGTCGCGGTAGTACATGCTTATGGTGAGCCCGTGGTGGACGCACCAGACCGGCGTGACTCCATGCTCCTTGCGCTGCGAGTATGCTTTGAGTAGGCCTTCGATGTCGTCAAACCCAAACGCGATGTGCTAGAAAAGAGAAAAGAAGAGAGGTATTAATAACATTGCTACTTGCTCAATTTGGTGCTGTAATGCGTACATCGAGACCACAGGATTTTGGTGGCAGTTTTTGCAGATCTGGCCGCGAAACGAGAGCAATGCGATGGTGCTCGTCGTCGTAGGTGATGAAAGCGACCTGGTCGCTCTCAACTTGAGCTTTTCCGCCGAGGAAAGTCTTGTAGAATGGGGACATTTCCTTGAGGTTGCCGGTGCGCAGAACCACATGTGCCAGCCTCGAGGGCGATGTGATGAGGGGGGTTTCCTTGCTTCCGTTGGACATGTTGAGATAGATGGCAGTTATTGTAGAAAACTGAGATGGAATGTGTACTAATTGATGTATGCAAAGCTCAGAGGTTGTTTGCTATATATATATATATTTGCGGGCGTATCACCAGCGTCTTTTGAGTAAGGCTCTAAATGGGATACATTCCACGAGGTGTATGTAAATGAATCATGCCCCTTATTTTCATTATAGCATAGTTGCGGAGTTTGACGCTACGTTCACAAAAAAAAATCTTTCTTCAATATCAACTTGCCGTGATGAGTGTGGTGAGCCTCACTCACCTTGTAATTCCGACCCGGAATTATACAACCTCATTGGCGGAGCACTGCCGATTCTTACAGTCGATCGTATATGATATCACTATGATCCCTTTTCCTATGAGTTTACGGCTCTATTATCTCCGTTATGTGCATTTTATATGAAAGAAACGACACCTCTCGGGGTGGAAGCATTACCTAAGTCCGAGAACTACGTCGAGTCTCGACCAAACAGGCGGTTACATACATAATTAAAGGAATGAAACTTTTAAGAAATAAGAACCAATGTTGCTAAATAGCATAAATAAACTTAATAATGGTGAGAAGACAATGAAATAGGAAGAGAGAAAGCTGTAGACTATTTGCGTGATGCTAATGAGTACTAAGAACGATGCTCAACTTGAGTCCCCATCCAGGTCACTTTAAACACCACCAACCTATGCATATCTTCTAAGGCTGTGTCATCATCTTTTCTTTTGCTCAGGGACATAGAATATAATTTCAAGCTGAAAAGGGAATTAGAAACCATATAGATCATTCCGCTCGTATGGCCGTGCAATGCCCGTTGAGGCAACCGATAATTCCGACATTCACTCCTAGAAATGCATTGAGTTTTTATGTCCATGTGAGCACATCACCACATGTGTATTAATCACGCTCGTATCCGTAAGTGTCATTACTAGGAAGAGCTTTATTCATCTAACCCGAGAACTCATCTTCTCTAGTTAGAGCTTTCTTGGTCGGTCGCGTGTAAAGAGCTCCATTAGTTCCATATTCTCATTTTCTATACCTCATGCCATTCGACACCTGATATACCAATCCGGCCTATATTTTTCTTTTATAATTCTAAACCACCTTTGATCCCATAAAAGCAATACTAACACCCAAGATACGCACCCGAAATCCATACCAGAATCCAACACCATCAAAATTGCCAAGAATCATCATCCCTTTTCCATTTCCGAACCCTAAACCTTGTATAGTCATGAATGTCGTGAAATCTTCATTGTCCGAAAGTCGACTGTCCGAGTGGCCGATTGTCCGATTGTCCGAGTGGTCGATTGTCCGTATACTCGTTGTCCGAGTGATTGATTGTCCGAGTGGTCGATTGTCCAGCGCAACGCGGTCCATATTTCCCTCTGCATTCTTCATATCATGAGAAAATGCCGTCCGGACCGCGCACACCCATAGCCGCAAAATATCCAACTGCTTGCCAAACCTCCCTCTCAACCATAATCCGGAAACAATGCCCGACTAGAGCAACTCAGGTTCCCAATTATACGTCTCAGGCTTTCCAAAACTTTTCGCAATCTCCCTCACCGTCTGGTATCCAAAGCGGCGCACATTCAGCGGACGAATAGTCAACTCCTTGACGCATCTCACAGTCGGAAGCTCTGCGGTTTGCCCATCCTTCATGGTGCCAAAGTCAAGCTCGACATTCTCCACGGCGCGCAGCTCCTCCATTAGACCCATGTGCTCGCGAACGAGCCTGCATATGCTGCCGCGCAGCTCGCATGGGCGCACTTGCCGTGATAGACTGCAGTTTTCTTCCATCGTACACGTCTCGGGTAAATCGCATGGATAGATGTCCTTATCGAAGACGCAGCAGTCGAAGCGATGCCTCAGTCTGTTTGGGGCGTGCACACTAATCTCCAGGGCGAGCCCCGGGCCATTATCGACGTCCACATCGCCCCAGGAACTGAGTATATCCATCAGTGTCCACATGGCATTCGTAAAGACTTGGTTGTTTCTGGTGAGCTGTTCAGATGGTTCCAGGCGGTTGCAGCAAAAGAAGCATTCCCATTTCGGAGGTTGGATACGCAGCCAAATGTGCTTGATAATATCCTCCCGGCCCCGGGCGTTTTGGCGAAAGTCATCCAGGCACGAGTAATTTAAAACGAGCTTCCGAAAGGTCCTCCTTTCAAAGAAATCTTGCCATTCTCTGCAGACTGCGGCGTAATTGGCTGTACTTGCTTTGGGCCGTGTCGAGAGTATGACTTCAAAGACTTGATGCTTGAGTTCGGGCGGCAAGTCTTTCCACTTCGCCATACTGGATGAACCGTGGGGTGAACCGTGGGATGGACAGTTTAAGAAACGAGTGAGATTGAGCAACGAATGGAAGAGAAATGGTAGGCATACGAATGGAAAGAAAAAGGCAGGCATAAAGAATAAATACCTGTTGAGAAAAAAGAAAAAAAGCCGTGGCTGAAGGATACTCGCAAAAGTAAAAGCTGAAAATTCTTCAATACTATAGTTTAGATCGATGGCATACTCCGAACCATTAAACTATCAGTATAGCCACAGCAGAGGCCTTCACCTTGGGCGAAGATTTGAGTTTTATCTGCTTGAACCTGGCCATGCTTATAGTTCATTGAGTCAAGATAACAACTTTAGATTGTTCAAAAGCTTAAGCCACTATAGAGATGTAGAGTGGTCATCCAGCCTCACTGGGTATCTAAGTTACAGATTCCACAAAGTGTAAAAGATGTATACACTTTGGCCATGTTGATACTCGAGAGTCTATTCAAATTGGAATTATAACATTAAAATTTACTTTGCTAATAACTTTACCTCCCTAGTAGAGACAGGGAATTACCGATATGCGGTACCTCTATCAGGTTGCGGTCTGTACCTATACCGGAAGTCGAAGCCGGATCGTCCGTTTACAGCACTATGGGCCAAAGCACCGTGGCGAAAAAGCAGATACACTTGTGATTCGGCATATTGAAGTGTATCATCCTGTATGAGGGCGACAAGCAACCAACGTATGTGGAGAATTCACCAATGGCTCTAGGGTATAAGAGCCGATTTGTAGTATTCGTAATACGCACCCAAAGTACGGAGTACATGTGCGAGTACATGGTACCTGCTGCCGAATTCCGTACAAATAGCAGTGGATAATCCCGAGAGATCTCATTCCGAGAGATCCTTGTGCATGGGCATCGTAGAATACGAGTTTTGATAAAAGCTTGTGCGGTTGCGATTACTAAGTCTCCGTGGTTGGCCAAGAACGATGCTTAAATGAACGTGGTGTGTAAGGCAGAGCACGAGATGTTAAGAACCAACATACAGGGAGTTAGGACCTATTGTGTTGCCTATTTCCGTCGAGTCAACTCTTCTTCCAGAAATGTATCGATCAGGATACAATTCTACCAATACGAAGCAGAGGCGGCTGTGTTGCTTCCTGCGAGCCTCCGAAGATAGGTAACAACCAGACAATGTTTCTAAATTAAACACTCAATATCGGCTAAGAAGCGAATGGCCAATGGATGGTGGCAAGTCGTAACTGAGAATGAGTCGACTCTGGTCTCACTCTTCTTCTTTTCTCTCTTTGCCCCCGAATCTTTTTTTTCTATTCCAAGTGGGACTTGCTGGGATCCTTGACAAGCTGATAAGGGTGCGTGGATGCTTGTGCCTGTCCTGTGCCTGGGAAACTGGGTCCAAGACTGCGAGCCTGTGATTCAGGGGATTTTGGTGTCATCCTGGCCCCTCTTGGTCACTGGACGGCGCATTCTAGCGCATGTGGATTTGCATTTCAACGCCCTTGTTTAAAGGCCGAGCAGACGGCTAGCTTGATTCACAATGGCCAGAACCAAATGCCAATTGGACCCTCCAAAGCTGGAGAGTCGATGGCCCGCAACGTTGTCGCACAACACCACGAACGACGAGAGAAAGGCTGGACTGAAGGTCATCGCCCTAGGTCTAGAAAGGCGCTGCCGGCGATATGCTGCATAACGCCACCAGAGATTTGCCCAGTAGCGCCGCGTGGCGTCCCAAATGGCCATGCTAATGCAGCAGCTTCATCCTTCCGTGGCATGCGGCATCAGCAGTCGAGGATTTTGGATCTGGATCGAATCAAGGTTAGGTTAGCATAGAAGCACAAGATGCATCGACGCCTCCTGTTTGAGCTGCTGCTCCTTTACGCCAAGTACTGGTACTCTGACGCTCTGCTGCACGGCGCACGGCCTTGCCGCAAGGCCTTTCCCCCTTCTTCGCGAGGCTCCCAGTAATTGCAGGACTCGCAGCAGAAAAAAGACGACTGACTGGCCCTCCACTGCAATTTCAAGAGCCTGATTATGCGCTTCCGGAGACCGATGGAGCTTCCCGAACTGGCCTCTGCCAAAGACCAAGAGCCAAGTCGATGACTTGCCTCCTGCATTAGTGCGGTACTCGTAGGAGCCACCCGAGCCTTTGCCTGGAGAGTGTAACCAATTATCTCGGTCGGTGGGGATGGCGCCCCTGTCGAGTAGCGTCAAGCTGCTTGGATGGCAACCCCTGGCTCATCCCCTTTCTTGGGTGGATTGTTGCTTGGATGAGTGGCGCCCCCCCGCGCGACTCGGCTCTTTTTGGAGGCAAGTTCGCAGCAGAAGAGGGCCAGTAGGAGCGCCAGCAGTGCGGCGAGACGCCCAAAGCGGCTGGAGAAGCGCCATGAATGAATCTGACTGCAGAGCGCAAGACGTGAGGTGCGGTGTGGTGCAGGCTGTATGTACTGTACAGTAGTCTGTAGGTACTAACTGTAGGTAAATCGGCGCGGGAGATGTCGAGGTGCATATGCTCGCACGTGTCCGAGTGCTGCCATCGCTGCAGCCTCTCTATCTCTGCTGCTGCTGCTGCTGCTGCTGCTGCTGCTGGAGATGTCGCGTCATGGGTTGTGTGATTTGTTGGGTTCGGGTTTGAGAGACTTGACAGGAATGAACTCGAGTTCCGGTGCGAGGAGGAGAATGTCGGCCGGGAAAATAGCCCCAGCCGTGGGAGGCGCCAGGCACAAGACGCCCAGCTCATTGACTTGATTTGATGGAGATTGAAGGCACAAGCAGAGGTAGAAGCAGAGGTAGCAGTACCCGAGCCAGCACGGCCCTGCACGCGCTCAAGCACCAGACCCGTCAAGGACCACCGGTAACGGTACTAGCACCAGTACCGTTACCGCCAGAGGATCCCCTGACGCCCCTGTAGAAACGGCCGGTACAGGGCTGCACAGGCTTCAGCGCCCTGTAGAAGCCCGCCCAGCAGCCCCTCCCCCGTCGCCGGCACGCAGCACCTCGAAGCCGCTAGACGTGTCCCCCAGCGCTGTCAATGCCAGGCCCCGACCGCGCAAGTACCGGTACAAGGCCCAACCGACCAAGGCCAGGCCAGGCGGGACGGACCACTCGCTGGGCAGCTCGTCGCGAGCGATACCTGGCGAGTACATGTAGCTGCTCGCATCCGCCTTCACCTTGATCCCCTTTCTCTCCCCCTTTGGAACCTGTTGGACCGCCCACGTCTTTTTTCGCTCCCTTCCAGTTTGTTCTGTGCTTGTCTTTCTCTCCTTCCCTTCCAACTGATTCACCGCAGGCAAGCAGACAGACGCCAGTGGCCTCTTCCTCTCAGCATCTTGCAGCTTTCATCGTTTCTCCTCCCTGCAAATCCCCCCCAACGCAACAACAGGCTGAACTGGTGCATCTGCATGCGTTGATCTGCGCCGCACCCACCGAAGATCTTGCAAAATCCAGTCGCCTGACCAGTATCTGCATTCGACTGTCGTCACAGCAAAGTCATCAAATCGCAATCTCAATCTCAGCTTCCCAGCCAGCTGGTGGTGTGGCCTATTATTATTACCTTGCCTACCTTACAGGTACTGTCCAGTCCTCGTACTCTGCAGTACACAAACGCCTCCCGGCCGCCACTTTCGAGACCGCGTTTCTTTTTTTGGAGTCTCGCCTCCGATCCGTTCAATCACATTTGATTCTGTCGTGGCGCTTCGACCGTTGGACGTTCGGAGAAGGGACACCCCCATTCACAGCAGCTTTATTGTTTTTTATTTTATTTTTTTCGACTCAACCATCTCCATTATCCCCCGCCAGGTGCAACGTGCACTTTGTCAGTGGCTGAATCTTATTCTTGTATGCGCACAGGCCTGGTTGCTGCTTGTTCTCTCGACTTCTTTTCGCACTGCCGCTGCGCATCTTCTGCCGCGGCCTGGACAAGCGATTTAGTCGAACGCTGGTGCTGAAACCTACGCGCCATCAAAACTCTCCCCTATTCTCCCCCCTTTCAACGCTTTCTCGAGCTCCTTGCGCCATCGCAGCTTCAGTCGGGTGACTGCCCGCGACATAATCAACAATGGCCAATGCGTGAGTCGACTCCCTCCCTCCGTTTCCAGGGCGATGCGGCAATTGTCATGATCTGCAAGCTAATGGAACATAACCACAGAATTGGATCCGTCTTTCGCGATTTCTGGCATACCATGACCAGTAATGACCGACGTATGTCTTGGGCCCTTTTTTTCCTTCATCACGTTCAAAACCAAGCAGTCGACCATGTGTACTAACTGCGCTGGCTTCTTCTAGACTCTTCCTTTGATTCACCGCAACGAACGGGGCGTCATGTCCCTCTACAGAATGGCCGCAACATCATGACGGGCATCGCAACCGCTTCCGACTCTCGAGCCGACATTCATAGCCCGTACTTTGACGACTCTCGCGCGCCCTCTGCGCAAGGCTCGCCCACCAACGGCACCCGAGGATACTCGCCCGGCCTCCGATCGCAAAACGTAAATAAGGATGGTTTCGAAGTCCAGTCGCCCGGTGACGTAGCCATGCAGTCATTTGAGAATGGCCTGCCCCCGCCGCCCCCTGTTGCACACTCTTGGAGGCGCATAGACGCGTGGGCTGAGGAGAACTACCCAGAGCTGTTTGACCAGCTGTGTGAGGGTGCCACAAACAACGACCTCAATGACTTGGAGCACCAATTGGATTGCTCGCTGCCTCAAGATGTCCGCGAGTCTCTCATGATTCACGACGGCCAGGAGCGAGGTGGAATGCCCTCTGGTATTATTTTCGGCTCCATGTTGATGGACTGTGAGGAGATTCCCCAGGAGTGGGAGACGTGGCGCCAGGTGAACCAGCAGTTCATGCTGGATGCCGCCGCCAACAAGCCGCCGACCCCGTCGGGTAGCGAGGCGTCCTCTTCCAGGCAGCGACCTGGTTCGTCTTCGTCATCCAACGGCCCTGGCGAATGGAGACAGAATCTCTTGGCCAAGCAGACCTGCATTCCGCCCAACACCGTCCAGAAGGCTTACGCACACGCCGGCTGGATTCCTCTTGTCCGTGACTGGGGTGGCAACAATTTGGCTGTTGATCTCGCGCCCGGACCGGCTGGTCGATATGGCCAGATCATCCTCTTTGGTCGTGACTACGACACCAAATACGTGGTTGCTCGCTCTTGGGCGGCGTTCCTTGCCGTGGTAGCCGACGACCTCAACAGCGGCAAGTGGTTCGTTGACGAGGAGACTAACGAGCTCAAGCTACGAGAATTCAAGGACGCGCGCGTCGAGCCCTCTTACTTCAACATTCTCCGATGGAGAATGGACCAGAAGCACGGTCGCCGGGCCGCCGCAGCCAAACGACAGTCCCAGGGCCCCTCCCAACAGGCTTCCAAGAGCAACTCGCCTCTGGGCTCTAGATCGGCCTCTCCCTATGCCAATCCCCAAGACTCGGCCGGCGACATCCGCGGCCGGTCTATGCAGCGACTTCGCGATTCCGCTCCTCTTACTAGCCCCATGAGGAACGGTCTCGGCAAACCCCAGGCCCCTCTTCTCAGCCGCGTGACGGAGGAGGCGACGATTGAGCTTACCGACGCCGTTATCGAGCCCAGCACCTTGGTCGACGTGGAGGATGATGATGATTCTCCGCGAAACAGCGAGGAGGGCAAGCGTCCAACAGTCACAACACTTGAGCGGACATCGTCAGACTTGGCCAAGGACAAGGGCAAGGAAGTCGAGGTTCCCAAGGCAGCCAGCAAAACACCCGAGGTTGTGATTGATGACACCATGAAGGAAATTGAGATTTAGACGGATTTCGCATAACGAGTCGAGGCGGCAGAAATGAAGGAGCTACCGAGTTGATATCGAAGACTCCATGATGGCACGACTTGAAGTTCCCGTAGACCGGTCAATGACAGAAGCGGTCTCCGTTCACGCGTCAGTATCTACGTTTTTAACAAAAACACACTTTGGGCGTTGGTGGCGTTATGGCGGCCGCTGGAGGCGTGTCATAAGCATTTTGCTTTTTTTTTTTCCTTTTTTTTTCTTTTCTTTTCCTATTCGTTTCTTCTTTTACTACTCTACTTCAGTTTCTTTATTCTTTCCACCAAACTTTTTTCTCTTTGGAAGATGTACAGCGCTTGAGAAAGCATTAGAGCGGCAGAAGAAATCGGCACACGACTTATACTGGGCTATTGCCTTTATTTCTTTACAGAAAATGCTTTAGCGAAAGACCCTGTTTGGCCGAGGTTTTTACATCTGGTTGCTGCTGGGGCATGATGAGCGAAGCTGGGCTATGAATGCAGAAAGGGTTGTAATTGCTGTGTATCATTATGAAGGCTTTATTCTGCATTGGACTGTACTGGTAATTAGAAGGATAAAATGGATTTTGCCATGATTAGTCGAGGATGAATGGAAAAAACGATTAATATCAGATTTGCTTGATTGCTTGATTACTTGCTTGCTGTAGGTAGTTTCTGTATTGGGGTGGATTCGTGGCGTGAACTTGGTTGCCATGGCTGTAGGACGGTAAAGTAAAGTAAACAGCGGGAAAGGCGCTGTTGATGGCAATTGGCCAATGGGAAGAGGGCGGCTCGGGAAGCGCAGGCGGGCGCTGGCGCTAAATGGGTTTGGCGCATTCTTTCCATTGTTATTTTCAATTCGTTTTCGGACATTGTTTTTTTGATGGTGTCTGGGGGGATTGTTTGGCACAGTTGCTGGATTTTGTAGTTGTTCTTGTCCTCCTTTTTTTTTTTTTTTTTAGAGAGAGGGTGATGTCATTATCGTCATCTTACAGCAGGTCGGTTTTTGGCCATCAAGGTGCGCTTAAGTAAGCGGAATTACGAGTTTGTCGAGTTCGTTCGTCGAGTTCGTATTGATGGAGTACGTACTCGTATTTGCCACAAACCTTCCCCTTTGCCTTACATATCTCAGCATTTCTTACTGTGGCTGCTTTCAATCACCATATGCAGTCTCTAGCATTTCACGATTACATCTTTTCAATTTATTAATACATATCATCATCATTCTATTGGTTGTTCTTCCTCATTTCTCTTTATCAATCGTCCAGGGGAATCACATATTCAGACGACGAAAGAGATGTCTCTACATAACAGCCTACGGCGTCCCATACTGTCGTCTCCCTAATCTGTCTTCGACTCTGAACCAGCTTAGAGCACGAAACCAGTAGGTATGAAGCGATTTGACATCAGACTGATCGATATCGCCGGCTAGCACGCGGTTGTGTAGCGATGTCACGATGCAGCGGCACCGATTGATGGCCAGAGTGCGCAGTCCCACGTGAAATAGCTGGCATGTCGAAGATACAGTGTAATATCCAGCTGCACAGAACGTCACGAAAGCTCCGTTGTCTAGGTATGGGCCGTAATGTAAGCTGCGTACCAGGTACGATGCGGACATCAAGATTGACCTGTATCACAGTTTGCGAAAAAAGACATTAGCCGTGCTGTTAGACCAAACCCCGACTCGGGGAGAAGCAAAGACTACGATAACCATATTGCAGAGGCATCCTTGAAGGGAGAAGAGAAACGAACCATATCGTGAGAGAGCCAGCAATGTCAATCATGTGTTTGCCATTCTCATAAAGCAGGTCCAAGATATTCTTCAATGCGACCAAGCCCGAGATGGCCATGTCGGATTCCACCGTGTGCCGCCATCCGTCACTAGGCATGTTTCCATCACCGTAACGGACAATGCTATAACTTTGTTGAGAATACGCTGCTGTTTGTACTTCTTCTCTGTCAGTTCACGGTACCCTATTTGGTGGCTTAGTTTCACGAGGGTGACCTCAACTCACCTCGGCCATTCTCTGGGATCACGCCCTTTGAATCCTTATTGCAATCTCTATGCTCGACATATTTTCCCAGATGATGCCCGACGGAGCGTATCTTTGAATCAAATTCCACCCAGGTGGCTGCCTCGTCCAGCCTGTGATAGTGGTTGGGAGCAAATACAAATGCGGTCGAGCTTCCTCTGTCCGACTGAGGCGAATTCAGGTAACGGACAAGTCCATTGCTTTCAGTTGCCGATGGTCGGCCTCCCGTTTCCGCATTGCTGTAGTAGTCGGACATCTTGGTCGGCAGTTCATTTTACCAATATACAGCCGCTATCCAGGGCACGATTGATGTTGCCATACGGGAGTCTGTCAACACATTTTCGAAAACATGCAGGGTCAAGATGGATGCAGCCGCCGGATGGCCACAATATTGGCTAAAGGACGTCGACATGATCGGTATTTACCTGGTCGGCACTTTGGCTACAACCCCGCAGCAGGATTGCCAATAGCTCAGTCGGAGAAGAATGTGCCGCTCCAGTCGTCCTGAGCTACGTGTTCGTTCATGCATCACGTCCAATCCGCGGGCGCAAAAACTACCTCGGGAATAGACTTGGGCATCAACCAATTAATATGGCGAAATCATGACGTTATCTGGAGATTGGATGGAACGATGGTATACTTTGATATGCATATCACCGAATTACGCGGCTGCAGCATGTGACGGGAAAGGCAAAGTGACTCCCTCAAAAGTCGTCAATCTTTGTGATGCGGCATCGTTTTCTCCTGTTGTGAACTATAATTTTTGCCTTGGATAGACCTCATCCCATTTTCTTCTCAATAAAGAGAGAAAGGAAGCATCTTTCGAGTACATAAATTACCCATCGCAATCGTCTAATGTCCGGCCCTGAGGATTCTTCAAGCTCGTTCTTTGTGATGGGTGGAAAACCTCCAAACTATGAGGACGTCGAAACCATCACTGTTGACCCAAACCCAAAGCTGCTGCTTCGACTGGAAGTCTGGCACTTCTCCAGTGACGGTAGATCGCAAAGGAAGAACAAACGATTTGCCGAGGCGTTCAAGGAGATCAGTCTGGAGAACTGGGATGTGAAGGAGGTCGCCGTTATTGAACCAGATGGCGCTTCTAGTCGTGATGATTTTGTACCCATACAGGCAAGAAACCTTTTATTTATCCATCGTGCCAGCACCGGATCTCGTAGCATTGTAGCTGATAATGTGCTTCTCTCATTCAAGGTTGAATTCAAGCATAATGAGTACACCGACAACGACCCCAACGGCAGAGCCCAGAACCACGTCCGAGAGCTCTTCAGGCGTATTATCCCATCCGTCATCTTTCGGTTCTTTCTCAATATCCACAGCAAGCCGCATACTATGAGCTTGATTGCTCGCAACGTGTCGCCCGACCACCAGCAGAGATATTGTCAGCTTTTCATTATCAATAAGCTGAACATTCGGGTTGACCAACTTTTGACACCTGCTGGAATGGACGATGCGTGTATCGATGAGATTGCAGCCCGGTATGACTTCCTGGCTTATCGTTGGTGAATGTATCATCACCGAGTACCCATTGCTGACATGTGAAGATTATCTACTCTACCCAATGGCCTTTCAACGTTGTCGCAGATTGTGGAGATATTTTCTATATACCAGCTCCTGCACGGGCAAACCGTGCCCCAATTTTCCTTTATGCACAAGCAAGATGCTGACCAAGTCTTTGATGTGCGAACATCCGTTCTTGGGGATATCGAACCCCTTGTTAGGATCGCGGAAGAGGTAGTACTTGTCATCCTTCTCATCAAGTAGGATGTTCTGACCGGATACAGTTGAGGCCATTGTATGAGGCCAATATGGGCCAAACAGTGACGGAGAAGTTGGCGACGGAGTTCCAGGTCGAGTTTGCAGATGTTATGGGAAATCTGGGGAAAGTAAAAAGCGACATGTGTCCGTATTCTTCTCACCCAATCTGTCTATTGCTGCCTTTCAAAGATCTAATCTCGATCTGATTCAGGTTTTACTCCTCAGCAATTATACGAGACTGGCTTGAATCTCCGTACGGGAAACACCATGCTTTCAAGAGCGAGAGACTTTTTAGGGCCGCATCTAGATCGTCAAGTCGAGCGATATGAGAACGATATGCGATTGCCTAAAAACATTCGATTTGGAAGTGTCATAGCGGGTGCAAGTACTGGAGGGGCGATTCTTCTTGGCGGTTTGGCCTCGAATCCTTTGACTTTGACGATTGCTGTGTTTTTGTACGCGGCTGTAGCAGCGCAGAGCAACATAGGGGCGATTTCGAAGAAGAGTGAAGCAATCAAAGCATGTGAGTCATTTAAGAAATCCTCCTCTCATGGCTTAATCTAACATTTTGCATTGCAGTTTTACGAGATTTAAAAGATATGGCGGATGTGTTTGACGAAGCTCGTAGGTCTGTCGCCGTGGCTGTGTGCCAGGACATTTTTAACATAGGACTCGATGACTTGGGGCAACACGAGCGAACGGCGATTCTGCACAGCTTTGGTATTGATGTTAGTGCACTGAGGCATGAAGAATATCGCCAGAGTCTTGTTGAGAGCAGTATTGAGAAGCTGATGGCTTATTATAAGGAGATGGGAACGGATTTCGAGCACATGGTTATGGTGTGTGGGCATGATCTGAATAATGCAAAGGTTCCGCTGTAATTTATGATTACTAGCAGAAAATTATGAAATAGACCAAGTAGTTTGTCTATGTGAGGAGAGCGACTCAGAACATACCGGGATCTCAAATTACACCGAGGGATATAGTAGGCTATATATAAATCATCAAGTCGGGTATCACAACATACAATTGACAAAAAGAAAACATCGCCCTGTTACTGGTTTCCTTCAGAGCCAAGTGCCATTTCTCACTGGCTCAAACGTCCCTTGATTCCTCCTCCTCAAATCTCCCGTCACCACCCTCTGCAGCAAAGTCTTCTTCTCTTTCAACGACGCGGGATCAACCAGAGCCACATAAGGGTCCATGTCGATCCCCAGATGTACTTTCTGATCTACCCCGATATATCGGCCAAAACTATACGTCTTTTTCTCCCTTGATTTGCCATCTTGGCCTCTTGAAGACGGCCCTTGATCTTCTAGGATGTGACTTGCTGAGACAAAGGCAAGGACCGAGCCTATAGTGGTGGGAACGCGGGGGAGGTTGAATATGATGCCGCGGGAGTAGAATATGACGACTGCGACGATGTTGAGAGATAGGACCGTCACGGCTATTATAAAAGCGTTTTGGTCCATGAATATCCGTGTTTCTTCTGTTAGCCTTTGGCCTGTTATTGAAGCCTCTTCGTCACCAGGCACAAATAGTTGTTGATTAAGGCTAAGGAGGATCGCAAACAATTGTCGGTACACTTTTTCGATTGCAGGAATCAAGTCATTAGGATCGGGAACCGGTTTACTGGGATCCAGAAAATCTCGGGCGTCGAGGGTCGTAGTCAAGAGGTAGTTAATCCAGTCTCTTGATAGTGTGTCGTTATGCCATACCCTCCCATATGCTCTGACGAGGTTATTCATATTGATGATCATCCTGTTTGTCTGTACATCCCCGTCGTCGCCGTCCAGATGTGTGGAAAGATCGCTCGTTCTTTCGTATTCTAGCACGTTGCCCTCTGCATCATGCCGCACATCAAACATAGCCGTCTGAAAGAATATATGACAAATAGCAAAGCTTGCTTCAACGGTCGCATTCATGTTTAGTGCTTGAGGTGTTCTACCCCATCCAAACGTCATAGGTCGGCTGCAATCATCGAAAGAGTCTTTCGACTGCAGGGAATCGCTATATTCAATAGCAGATTGGCCAGCAGGTCTAGTAGTTTGGTTCGTTCTAAACACCATTTCGGCAACCTCTAGCTGAGTAGTTGCATCGGCTGAACAAGCCGAAGCCAAACTCGCTGGATACGAGAGTGCGAGTGTATGTTGTGGCACGGCGGTGCAGTTCATGCTGGCGCCGAAACCTCGCGTGGGAATTCTATAAGTGCTGCTGCTGTTACTTTGGCCCCCGCTATCGACGGTATATGGCTGAAAGAAGTAATCAGACGTCGTCCAAGGTGGAAGTTGTGTTCCAGATGTGTAGTTCGCCATGGCAATGTATGCCTCATCTTGGTACAGACCGGTAGCTATCGTTCTCAAGGAGAAGTAAAGGTGCAAATCGAATACAGTTTGGTTATCGAACTGCGGAGCAATATTCGGGGTGAAAGTCGATGTATAGATTGCGGTTGTCTGATCCTCGTTGAAGAGAGCACCGAGTCCGACAGCGAGGACATTTGATAGCAGCGCAATGATACACAGCATAGCTAACATAAAGTGCCGCGATCTGAGCGCCCTCCAAATGACCAGTTGTGGAGGAAGTGCCGTGTAGGTGGTGTCAATGGATTTTGATGGCTCACTTCGGCCCCTCGATAGGACTTTAAACGGCTGGAGGAGACACATAAACCTGTTGATTAACACCCAAAAAGGTTCAGAGAAGGTAGCAAAGGCAGTGGGAATGTAGTTTTCGAGGATCTGTAACACCTCGAAACTATTCGATGGTCGTATAAGGCCTATGCTCAGTGTTAGGTCGTATCTCATTTGCTGCTTTCAGGCTATGCTAACCTTTGTTCTTGTCATTTTGAACCTTGAGGTATACAATGGTGGCAAGAGCGCCAACCTGCACCAGGCCAAACAATAGTCCAATTTCTCTCTTAAGAGGTGTTGGTCGAATGGGATCATAGTAGCCAATTGGTTTGTCGAATTTTCTCTCATTCTCGTCGCCCTCTGGACCATCCACCTTCTCTAGGTATATATTCCCATCACTGTTGTACTCGCCTCGCGTAAGCCGAAATTTGTCGTCTTTGAATAATTCTTTCAGCGACTTCTCGTCGGCGTGATCCGCCGGGCGGAATGACTTGTTCGTTTCTTGTCCGTGGCGAAAGATTGCGGCTAGCCGAGATATAGATGACGGGTTATTAGTTAAATAGCTCGTAGACGCATGGCAGAACCATAGCAAGCAGGTCGTAGAAATCGCCACAAAGAGGAGAAGGCCTTCGACAATGGCAGAAAATAGTCGACTGACAATAATCCCGCTCTGTTGAAACTCGGAAACTGCTGTGCTGTTGACTACAGTCGTATCATTAACCAACATCTGGTTTACCGCAATCGAAAACAGGTATTTGTGTGCGCGGTTGAACGCCTCATGTAGCAGGACAGGGTCGCCATATGGAGTTGCTGGCACGTTCCGGGGAGCAAGAGCATAGCCAACCATGTTGGAAACCGGGATGCTTAGATTAGTTTTGTCCAACCGAGGACTTTGTTCAATGACATACTCGAATGGAAAATCTCGGGTGATATCCAACACCTGTTCCATTGGCATACCGTTTGCGATCAAAAACTCAAAGGAAGTCGAATTGAATTCTTTTTCAGTTAGATGTTCTGGAGGAGAGATGGGTTGAATTGACGAATTCAACGGCTGGAAACCATTTGTGTCAACAGTAACCATCACCTGTTGCTTGTAGTAAGATGGCTCGCAGAACAGCGCAGTTATATCGACCTCGGGCATTTTTTGGGCACTGCCGCCCTTAGTCGACACCCATACGGCGAGAAATTGATGGGTCGCATTTGCAGTAGCAGGGCAGTTCTCGGTATCAGCCAACTGGTAGTCTGAGAATGGGCTAGTGTAATATCCAACATAGTACATCTTGAGATATGCGAAGACGTCGAGGTTGATGGTCGTATTACACCCCTGGCCGTTCCCAAAGTGCATCACCATGGTAGAAAAATTCTGTACCGGTTGCTCGGCCGGCCAACATTCGAGCTCGGTCCATAACTTTGTCGTTGTGGCGGTCCAATTCGTTTGGAGTTGAGACTCTCCAGGATCATTATCTATATAGAACGGAAGTGTGCCATAATCGGCGGTCGTAAAGGGAGGCCAAGATTGACTGAGCCATGCGATGGAATATCCGGTATTGAGGATCTGGTTTGTGAGATAGTCAGATTGGGTTGCCAACGGAACGATAGATGATCTCGTTCCAATTATTGCCGGTGCGGTTATGTTGACCAAGCCAGTTCCCATGATGGAACTTTGTAATGGGGTGATGAGCCAGAAGATGACAACCGTCACTGTTCCCGCGAAAAACACAGGCCAATGCCTTTGACTATTAGATTTCAGACTCTTTATGTGTGCAAATGGTAGAATTTACCTCCTCCTAGCAGCTTTAATGGGAACAGTGGCAATAAAGTCGTAGGGGTAATCGAGAAACATCGAGTTTTCGGCCGTTGCTCCTTCAAGCTTGGATAGCTCAAACCATGGCTGCATCCGTTTGACATCGAGATCCACCCAGCTCCATACCAGACTGTATAAGACTGCAATAATATTAGGAGCGTATAGATAGCTTATCATAGCATATTGTGGGATTTCGTCTTGTGTTCGTGAGAGCGCGAGGCCACCCCTAGAACGGCTGAGCTGTGCCAATGCTTCAATGGCACAACCAATTAGAAGCGTTAAAATCGTAAGCAGCGTCAAGATCGGGGCCGTCATAGACAGGGGCTTCCATCCTTTCTGTGATCCTGAACCATTTTAGTTGCTGTGTTCCCCTCATGAGCGTAGCCAGGTCCGTAATTACCATCCCGTCGTCGGAATGTCTCTCTTACACGCGGATACCACGTTGTTTTGGTCTCCAACCGACGTGCTGTATTATCTCGGAGCGACTGCGATTGCCATTGGCCGGGTACTGCGTGATCGTCAGGCGAGAGAGGCTCGAGTTCGGTTCGCGACGCCATAACGAAAGACAAATGCACCCAGAGATCCAATCCTAGTCCAAGGCTTCAAGCAAGCAGACAAGCAAAACATAACAATAGAAACCCGTCGCCAGCGACGGGCAAAAACCACGTATGTAAACCAAATGATCAAGGAATAGAGAAAAGAGAGGGAAATGAGGAATAAAAGAAAACGTACAAGATTGCGCTGAAGGATGGCACTGCCTCTATAATATATGAAGTCGCCCTATCGAATGCCTCACATGAGGCGAAGTCTAATCTCACGACTAACAGCAAATATACGTCCAGCTCTAACAAATACACACTGATTTTCTGTCATCAGGCTGTTATCATCGTACCTCACAAGGCTGTTGGTGCCATCCATCATCCTTGCTGCAGATATTCCATGTGTGAAACTTGACATCTCCACTTCAACCAACGTTTAAGCGCCAGGGATGCCGCCCCCAGCCAATAGACGCGAATCTTCACAGAGATTAGCCGCAAAAGCCCTGTCAATCACCGTTCTGTCTATCTCGAAATGGGAATCGCGAGGCTTTCAGCAGTTAATTTTAGTATAATTGCGTGGGTTTACTGTGGTTCTTCCAGCCTTGATGCTACGCTCTCGCGCTTATTTGTAGGGACGGGTTTTGCGCCTTAAAAAGGCCGAAGAAGCTCGCAATTTCGTCACCGTGAGTTCTGCAACCTATTCACTACTATGTTTCTTCGACCTTTTAGGCGTAGCTAGGTTTCTAACGAGATACAGCATCATGGGATGATGTCTATCATTTATTTCCAGTTCTCAATACCCTTTTCATCTAGGAAACACTTTCACATCGCTTAATAGTGACGAAGTGTTACGCTGTAAACTACAAGTATTACCACATCACCCCGGGATTGGAACCACCTTCACAAGGCAGGAGATTATATAGCACTTTTATGATGGTAAAGTAGTCAAACAGTTTGATGGTTAAAACCAAGGGTATGCCCATTTATATTTTCTAGGCCAAGCCAAACCCCCCATAATGATACAGAAAAAGAACGAAAGATACAAGTATATGTACATAAAAGAATGTCAATCCTTCTCACAAATGAATGTTCAAATGTTCATCACAAATCTATGCCAAATCCCTAGCCCGTTATCATAAACGGTATCGACAGGTTAATGTCCAAAATCGAAAGAAGAAAGAATGTCGATCTGTGCCGTTTAAGCACGAATGCGAATGGCGCGGCGCATGGAGCTGCTACCTCGCTTGGCAACCATGTTAAGGTTGTCAGATTGTCCAGCTTGGCATTGGGTGCCAGAAGCGAGAGCCTGAGCGGGAGACCAAGCTCCGCTGGCGCAACGCTGGAACTGGGATCCTCCAATGCAGTTCCACTGGCCCTCGGAAGAGCAAGCCGTGCCAGCTGCGAAACCACCGCTGGGGCTGGAGCCTGAACCGGAGCCGGAACCAGAACCGGAGGTAGGGGCGGGAGCGGGAGCGGGAGCAGAGGTAGCAACTGGAGCCTGGGATTGAACGGGCAAGTTCACCAGGGGAGCGGAGGTGGGCTTGGAGGGGGCGGGCTGGGAGGCGGGCTGGGAGGCAACCTGAGAAGCGGCAGGAGGGGCGGCAGGCTGAGTGGCAGCAGGAGGTTGTCCACCACCGATAGGGCTGGTGATGAAGACGCCGCCGGGAATGCTCTGAGGTGCCTTGGTGGGCTGAGAAGGAACGCCGGTGACAGGAGAAGATCCAGAGCCGGAGCCTCCGCCGTTGGTAGGTTTTGACCCAGGAGCGACGGTGGGACTGGTACAACTGACAGGACCAGCGAATGCTGAAGTGGCACCATTGAATTGGTCAACGTCACTTCCAGGGTCGGGGAAGACAAGGTCGGAAGAATCTGCAGTTGCGCAGCCCTGTCCGCCAAAGATGTTGGCCTCGAACATATCAGGGAGCGTGTTCAGGAAATCCTTGGAGCCACCGGAGCCAGTGACGGACAAGGGAGCGCAGTTCATGTACATCTCACGGTTGCCAATCTTGTTGAACCAAGTCCAGGCAAGAGTGTAGTTACCAGTCTCAAGCTCCTTGGGGATGGTGAAGTCATATGTGTACGGGTCGATGGCGTTAGCGTCGTCACCCATGTTGCCAGTCTGGTCCTTGGCCGGGCAGCCACCCTCGATGGACTTGATAACCTTCCAGACGGAGTTCTTATCGGGCTGGGCATCGGTGGTGACGGAGATCTGGCAAGAACCGCCGCCGTGAACAGCACTTCCAACGAAAGAGAGCTTCTGGGTGCTGCCCTGAGCATACACGTTGCTGGCACCCTGGAGGTCATAGACACCATCTCGCTGTTTGCAGGGGAAGTCGGAGCCGTCCGCCAAAAGAGGGGCGTTAGAAAGAGTTGATCCGCCGTAGGGGACGGGGTTGGACATTTTCATGTGGGCACTGGCGGCCGAGGCCAGGACAGTGATGGTGAAAAGCTTGGAGAACATTTTGAAGGAAGGTGGTATAAGAGTCTAAATCGTACCGGACGAAAGAGGCTCGAATGTTGCAGTGGTATGTATAGTCGTCAAGACGAAAGTGAATGCTTTTAAGACAGGACCGTGAATGTCACAGATTCTTAATGGATCGGTTCGAAAAGGCTTCAGGAATGGATAGCAAGCAACCGGGCTGGCGTATGCAAATGAAGGCTTGAGACGGAGCAAAGTAAATCAAGAAGGAAAAAACAAGGGCTAGCCTCGTGTAAGAATGAAGGAGAGTGAGTCTTGACGACGACCACTTTGAAGGAAGGACTGTTGTTGACTGGAGATGTCTGGGACAAGAAACAAAAGGCAAGGTTGGGATGAGACCTCCATCTTATACATTGCGTGCCTCATGGTGGCATGGCGGAGGATAAACGCCAAGAACATTTGCCCCTAGATCATGACTAGCATAGAAGAAGCAAGGGCAGGACGATGCGAGCTGCAGGAACAGAGAGGGACAGGAGAGTCATTGGCGAGGCAGGGGATGGAGTCCAGACAGGGACCTGGGCTTGCTGGGGCCGAATGGCTCGCATGTTTCGTTCAAGAAACCAGTGCCGTCGGGGACAAGGAGTCCATCCAGTCAAGCACAGCCGCGGAACGAATATCTCGCGGTTTCGAGGCACGGCGGATCACTAGTGTGGCCTGGTCATCGAAGGGAGTGCCCTTGGGAGCCCACTGATAGGCCAGAGTCGTCGTTTCAGGATCTCAAAAACGCCGCCTAAAAAGGACGGGCATCAGTGGGCATCAGCCGAAAACCCCAGAAGACCAAGCAGAGCTAGAACCAGCCCGCAGTCGAACCCCTGAGTAACCTTGACCTCTCGCTATATTGTTTCTTACCAGCAGGTTCGCCACCGGCCAATGCTGGGATGTGGCTAGCACATACCGCGGCCAGGAATGTACGCCGTGCAGGGATCAGACATCTATGGTCCGTGAGCCTGGGCAGCATCATGCACAATGTGGGCCAAGCTCGCCAGGGGTCCAAAATCTGCGCAAAACAGGACAATGCCTAATAATAAGTATGTACCAGTGGCATAGCGAACGGACGGAGCCGCGTTGCAGCAGAGCCCGCATAAAAGTCGCAGATTATCATGAATCCAGCAGCCTTACGTCCATACAAACAGGGGCGAAGAGACTCGGCTGTTGAGCGTTGCTGGCAAAGTCAAATGCGGAGGGAGGCCGCAACACCCTCTTGGTTGGAATACGTGTACTCCGTACTCATGCATCGTGACACCGTCGTACTGCTAAAATAGATGGCCACCAATGAGGCCCGGCCGACCCCTTGAGCGCAGAGCCTCGGAGGCCACACACCACGGGCTGAGGCTGAGGTTAGTGTAAGTCGTAGTCAGTTGGGAGGGCCCACAGCTGTCACCCTCTCCCTGGTCTATCATTCACAATTGGCCAGAAGCCTTCCGAGCCGTGGCAGCAAGTGAAAGCATCTTGCACCACTGATTTCTCTGTCGTACGGCTCAAACGGCTCAGGCTGCTTTCTAGGCGCCGTGATCTCCCTGCATCTGCCACGGAGAAAAAACAAGCGACGTACGGGGTACTCATAGTTGAGAGGGTACCGTCTTGCGCTGACGCCGGGGTGATGCATCGCATTGCTAGACACTGAAGCTTTTCCTTGGACGAGGCACACTTGTAAATCGAGACGGCCAAAGTTTGTCTGCCACACAGCTTGGTGGGGGATTTTAACGGCAGGGGTAAGATGCACCGTGGCAGAGCTGACCAAACGGAAGAATGACACTTGGTGAGAGTAAAGTCGGCTGCAAAGATTTTCATAATGCGCGGGATCCGGCATTGCCTTTAGCCAGCGGCATCGTCATTTACCGCCGAGAATCAGAAACAATGCGAATAGGGGAATGAAAGCGACATTGTTGCATTTCATGCACCTCATGGTTGCTTTCTGAGCTCGAGACTCGGTGGTCATTTCCAGAGACAGGCACTCGTATGTGGGGGGACCTTGTCCTTGTCCTTGTGCGCCCAAGAAACATTGTGATCGACCACGGCCCGAACAGTAAACAGTTCGTTGGCCATTTTGCTCGTTCATTGTTTCTTGCGCTTAGTTCGAGATGCGTTACTCCATAGGCAGGAATCACGGCGACGTCATATTCACCTTTCCCCCGGGCATGCTGAAAGCCGTTGCGTTTTCTCTTCACAAGTCATTGCAAAGTAAAGCCGGCGGCACTGGACGAATGCAAAGGGGCCACTCGCCACCCCATCGTCGCTATACGAGTCGCGCGTCGTATTGCATCGTATCGTTTACAGTATGCCTCTCACATGCCATGCCACAATAGCCACAAAAAGACGCGTGTTATAGCCGGTATGTCTGAGCCTGTGTGGCGAGAATCGTGCCTACTTGGAGATCTCAATGCGACGCCGTGCTTCTTCCATGGCAAAAAGTCTGCTTCTCTGACCCCTGGCCCCTCGGTATGCAGGGGCCGGGGCAAGGGTGTCTAATCCCTCAGTAGGGTTACTTTTGCAGAACTAGCCTCTGCTGCCGTGGGGTTGAATCGACTTGTGGTGAAACACAGGCTGGTTTCATGCTCAGCATCTTCTTTTCGGCTTGGGCATGTGCATCCACCCCATTCTCGCGAAGCTCGAGGCAGGCAGCCTGGCTAGTGGATAGAGGTGGCATCTCCGGCTTCGAGGTGTGATTTGTGATGGCGAAGGACTGAGACAATCGGCTCTGCGTCGCCGGGCGGCAAAGACGCGGTCATGGCCGATCAGCAGGGCTAGTCGGAGGCAGCTGAGATGCCCGGAGTTGTTTTGTTTGGACGGTAGACGCTGAGGCTTGACGATGGTGAAAAGATGCAGACCAGTCAGAGGTGCAGGTGAAGAGGTGCATGTACGAGTATTGCCCATGGTCGGGTCGCTGACCGCCTTATTGGGGGGTACGTACTCCATGTCTCATACATGCAGCTCAGCCCAACTCGCGGCTACAGCTCCAGCTTTTCGACTCAACGCCTGTAAAAACAACCCATAGCTGACCGTATCGCTGTTTGATTCGCGGCTATAGGCTCATGCACCTTCAATAGCCGCCCAGTGGCTGTTTCTAGAGACCAGGAGATACCCGGCACGAGTACCATCTATGAAGCTGGTGTAAGAGCCGCAACAGACCAGGCTCGTATAGAATTTCACATGTCTATTGGTCATTGTGCATTTCCATGAAACCTGGCGCTTCCAGCAAATCCTCTTCGGCTCATACCGGCCTTGGCTACACAGATGCCATGTACGAGTAAGATGGTACGATGGTATGAAGCCATAGCCATCGGGAGAATATCCGAGTGGCTCTCGATCCATCCTCCTGGTTACATGTACACTGGCTACACCGGCGAAAGTGCCAAGGACCGTGTAGCATGATAATTTCTTCAACTTGACTTCAGCTCTGACCTATCCACTCGGAAACAAAAGATCATTCTAGCACGACAGCCAAGACGGCTTGTAATGAAGGAAAATTAACAGCTCAGTTTAGTCCCGTGAGAGGCCCAGATCTGCGGGACAGCTGCATGAATCTCTGTCTATGCCAGACAATCCAATCCTTGGCATCACCCTGCGGCTTGAAAAATTTGAAAAATCTGATCCTTTCTGACTTGTTTATGGGTTCATCGTCATAACGTCACAGAAAATGCTCCTCTTTTATCCCGACTATGAGGCTATCGGCTGAATCGTCTGAACACGGCTAGTAACTTCATCACATTTGCACTCGGACATTGTTGGTTCAGCTCAGCCAACTCCATCGCAGCAGGGTCGTTGCTCCGACGCCACACTAGTATCGACATTTTCCTTCGCAATCTTGTTTAATTAATTTTAAGCTTCAATTGTCCCGTCTTACAAGGACTATGACAGGCGAGCTACCTCGGAATCATGTCCGAAATTCTCCTAACATTTCGTGGCTGTTTCTACCTTCTCGTTTCGTCGATAGTGGTTGTTTCTCGCAAATTGCCTTGCCGAGAGGGCCATACAGCTCTAAGCCATCCTTGTCCCATCTTATTACGCGGTAATGAGCATATATATAAATGATTTCACCAATTTGCAACCGTAAAATTTGTCAAGATATTTACACTTGATGTGAGCATGTCGTTGAGTGTGGAGACGCTGCGTTGTTGGTCGTCGAGTCGCTGAAGAAGAGAGTTGCTGTTGGCTCTGTCAACTTCCCAACAGCTCATGACAAGGATGAAAGGTTGGCCCCAGCATGCTTGATCTACGAGTATGCGTTCAAAGAGCCTTCACCGAAAATAGAAATACACGCGTCATAACACCATGCTGGGTTTGCTGATAACTACACCGTCATTTCGGACACGACATTACATATCGAGGGCGCTTGCGTCGGCCAGAGGATAAGTCAAGTGTCTATGTGATGAGTGTATATTGCCTCTTCTAAGGCGCCTATCCCACGTCTCTCTACCTACCTAGGTACCTTGTCACTGGAAATGTACCTATAGTAATGGGTCTCTCATGCGTGTGCATGCACTGGCTCAGCACGCATGCAGGCAGGCATCGACGTTTAAGCGCCCTCAACCTGGGCCGGCTGGTCACCTGGGACAATCAAGTCAGCGAGTCTGCAATGCACGCAAGCGGCAGCTTTAGGCCTTACCATCTGTAAATGCCCAGTCACCTCGCGTCCACATCTGCATTTTCTGTTGGCGGAACTCTTCAAAGTCCCATTCGCGTTTCTCAAGATCATCGGCGTTGAGAAAGACGTAAACGGACGCCTCCTTCAAGTCTCCCTCAACTTCCTTTTCGCCCTCCAGCTTCAGCAGCTTCACCTTGGTGTTGATCCGCTTATACTCGTTTCCCTCAAACATGTCCAGTTTTTGCAGATTGGCCTCCGTTAATCCTGTCGCATACATGCCTCGCACGCAGTGGCCTTCCTCGGCAACAATGGCTGGATAGTCTGCATATTGGACTCTGTGACGGCAGTAACCATCTAGGATGGCTGGAGTGAATGTGTGGAGGTCTTGGATTGCCTGAGGCGGCTCTTTTTCACCATAGCAAACGCTGAAAAAGACCTCTGGGGCCATCTGTAATGATATGTGAGTTTATCTCCTATCTCTTGTAGCGTACTAGCAGAGGATCTTCTTACCAGAGTCCCTACAATTTGAACATTACGTTAGTCTAAAAACTTTCCAAAACAAAAAGCTGTATTCACCGTAGAAGAATGCCTTATTTTCGCCACTCATCTTGTATCGAAGGTATCAATCCGTGGTGTTTATGGCCACTGTCAAAAGTTGAGCGGTCTAGGTTAAGCTGAGATCCTGAAAGCGAGGATTGGAAACAAGCCTTCGGGTAACGGGTAGAACTTTTGGGGGCGGGGAACAATATCGGTTTGGAGTATGAAGAAAGGGATACCAGCAACGTGCTTTGCTTCCGTCTCGTTTTATAGTAATTTTCCAATTGTCTTTGTTACCTCCTCGGCAGAATTACGAAGCTTCCCCGCCGTTTGGATAGTTCTGGCAGTGGGGTTGTGGGATCTTGTTCTCTTTTGTTGACAATACGGCACAAAGGAGAAAAAGGGATGGAAAAAGAAGCAATAGCAATACAAAACCGGAACTGGAGACGACGCAGGAAGATGATGAATATAAGAGAATATGTAGACCAATAGTTCAATCTAACATGAAAGACGCGGGATACAGCAGTGAGCAACTTATATAGCTGGTTATCAGACTTTCTTACTAGAGGCAGAGCATCTGACGTGGGGCTCCAAGATCGGGATAAGATCCCTATCGATAAGATAAGGTTATACGCATACGCCATAGCGGCAGGGGCGTACTGTAGCTAGCGCCACGGAACATTGTTTACGCAGCGCCTAGCTCAATTGGTTTTGGCGACTGCGGTGCCCAGTTCTGCTCGACTCTGGAAATTTCATAGGCGTCACGTTAAAGCTTCCTTCGTGAACCAAACCTTAAGGCTGCAGCCCGAGTCTTGGAATTTTATATCCTCCATCACCCCCAACCGAGTCTTTTATTATACCCAGACGCTTCCGAGATTCTATCCGCCCGTATCTGCCGAATTCTCCCTTTTTATTCCCATTTCCCGCCGATTTACAGCGCCCTGCCGCACTATCGTGAACCCACCGCGGCGCGTCCTCGTTTCTCGTCCTCAGCCTTGCTGCGAGGCCTCGTCTCTGATCCTCAGCCTTGCTGCGATTAATCGTTTTGCGCATCGCCTCGCCACACCTTCCGCGGATGGAAGGCAGAGCTGCGTCTCGCGGACGCCAATAATGCAGCCATGTCGGGAACTACTATTGACGATGTCGTGAAGCGACTTAGCACCGCTGATATAGGTACGATCATGGCCACCTTGTCCCGCCTGTCTATGCTGCCTACCCCTCTATCTTATCGCATGCCTCCACCATCATGTCCAAACTCTAACCTCTTGTTGATCTACAGATACCCGACTCAAGGTGGAAGCCGCGACCACCTTGCGCGACAGCCTAGACGCCTACACCAATGGCCCGATCTACGAACCCTTTTTGAAACGTTTAATGCCCATCTTCATAAACATCCTGCGTGGACCATGCATCTTTCAAAGCAACTCCCCGGAGCAGGTGAGAGCTCTGTGTGATGTATTGGGTTGGCTTTTGCTAACGGTCGATGGTAGAAACTCCGCAACTGCATCCTCGAGGTACTACACCGACTGCCAACCAACATGGCGCCCACCGAGCCGTTCAAGCCTTACGCCGAAGAGATTGTCGATCTGCTCATGCAACTAGTCCGAACCGACAACGAAGACAACGCATCATTATGCGTCAAAATTACTTCCGACATTATGCGCCATCAACACCAGGTTTTGCAGGGCAAAGTCCAGCCATTCCTGACATTGATCCAGGAGCTCTTCGATCAGATGGAAAAGGTTGTCATGGAGCAGCTAGACAATGCATCTCTCGCCCCGAATCCACAGCCTGGTGCACCGTCAACACCAGGAAGTACGCAAGCCAACTTTCAGTCTCCTCGACCGGGCTCTCCCGTAGCCTCAGTAACGGAGCTTGGCGCGGATCCCCAGCAGCAAAATCGACCACTTCTCAAAGGGATGCAGTCTTTCAAAGTTCTTTCGGAATGCCCAATCATCGTCGTGTCGATTTTCCAAGTCTACAGGAACACAGTTACCCAGAATGTGCCCAGATTTGTGCCCTTGATTAAGGGCTTCTTGTCTCTTCAGGCAAGCGCCCAGAAGCAAGCACACGATGACGCGGCTGCCAGAGGCGATATTCATACAGGTGTGAGCTCGGGCATCAAAAACCGGGCAGCTTTTGGCGATTTCATCACAGCCCAGATCAAGACCATGAGCTTTCTGGCCTATCTCCTCCGCCAGTACGCCTCTCAGTTGAAAGACTTTCTACACCTACTACCCGACATCGTCATTCGGCTACTCAAAGATTGCCCCCGGGAGAAATCTGGAACGCGAAAGGAGCTCTTGATTGCAATTAGACATATCATCAACTACAATTTTCGAAAGATCTTTCTCCCCAAAATCGACGAACTCTTGGACGAGCGTACGTTGACCGGAGACGGCTTGACTGTGTACGAAACGATGAGACCCCTTGCGTATAGTATGCTGGCGGATCTCATTCACCATGTGCGCGACTCCTTAACTCCAGAACAGATTCGCAAGACGGTGGAAGTATATACCCGAAATCTTCAAGACAACTTCCCCGGAACTTCTTTTCAGACCATGAGTGCGAAACTTCTTCTGAACATGGCCGAATGCATTGCCAAGCTCCCCAACAAAGTCGACGCAAGACATTACTTGATGATGATCCTCAACGCAATTGGAGACAAATTTGCCGCCATGAATCGACAGTACCCGAATGCCGTCAAGCTCTCGAAGCTGTACCACCAGCAGGCCGAAGCTGGTGCGCCTGAATCATATCTTGCTGATAAGGAGCACCCGCCGGATTGGGACGAAACCGACATCTTCTCAGCAGTACCCATCAAAATCTCCAATCCCCGAGATCGAGGAGCCGACCCTGTCGGAGATAACAAGTTCCTCTTCAGAAATCTCATGAATGGACTCAAGAACACATTCTACCAGCTCAGAACGTGTAACACCGGCACGCCGATTGACCCTGCCAATGCGCCACCGCATTGGCAAGAGGTCGCCTACGGTTTCACGGCGGAAGAGGTAAATGTGATTATCAAGTTGTTCCGAGAGGGCGCCTATGTGTTCAGATACTATGAAATTGAGAAGCCGGCTACTGAGAACCAATACGTATCACCGGTTGAATACATGGCGAATTTCTACATGGTCTCTAGCAGTAAAGAAGAAAAAGACCTCTTGGAGACATTCGCCACCGTCTTTCACTGCATCGACCCAGCCACTTTCCATGAAGTCTTCCAGCAGGAGATCCCGCATCTTTATGACATGATTTTCGAGCACACGGCTCTGCTCCACATACCTCAGTTTTTCCTTGCGAGTGAGGCAACCTCTCCCAGTTTTTGCGGTATGCTCTTGCAGTTTCTCATGGAAAGAATTGACGAGGTTGGCTCTGCCGACGTTAAGAAATCATCCATTTTGCTGCGGCTCTTCAAACTCGCCTTTATGGCGGTGACCTTGTTCGCCACACAGAACGAACAAGTTTTGTTGCCTCATGTGGTCAGCATTGTCACAAAGTCGATAGAGCTGTCAACCAAGGCGGAGGAGCCTATGAACTACTTCCTTCTGCTGCGGTCCCTTTTCAGGAGCATTGGTGGTGGCAAGTTCGAGCAACTCTATAAGCAGATATTGCCCTTGCTAGAGATGCTGCTGGATGTCCTCAACAATCTGCTGATGGCTGCACGCAAACCGTCCGAGAGAGATCTCTACGTTGAGCTATGCCTTACCGTCCCGGCGCGGCTTAGCCACCTGCTGCCTCATCTGAGTTTCCTTATGCGCCCACTGGTAGTTGCTCTCCGGGCAGGCACGGACCTTGTTGGTCAGGGTCTCCGAACGTTGGAGCTCTGTGTCGATAATCTTACGGCAGATTATCTCGACCCCATCATGGCACCTGTCATTGACGAGCTCATGACTGCCCTGTTTGATCATCTAAAACCACACCCCTACAGCCACTTTCATGCGCATACCACCATGCGCATCCTGGGAAAACTCGGGGGTCGAAATCGCAAATTCATGACGGGTGCTGTTCCTCTCACATATACCAACTATGCCGACGATGCCTCAAGCTTTGACTTGCGACTCATTGGTTCCAAGAAGGACAGAGCCTTTCCAGCTGACCTGGGCATCGATCTTGCAATACAAAAGCTCATGGAGATTCCTCGGCACAATAAGGCTAATGCTCAGAATCGACAGTATGACGAGTACTACAAGAAACAGGCCATCCATTTTATCAAGTCTCAGTTGAAGCTGCGTATGGGGTTCGACCAACTTCCCGAAGATTTCCCCCGCATTGTTAGACTCCAGGCGCAAGATTTTTTGAATCGCAAGATGGATATCAACTTCGCTCCATTTGAAGTGTCGAGCCGTGAAAGATCCATCCCCAAGAAAGATGAGCAGGACAAAATCACCAAGAAGCTGCTCAAGGCGGTCATGTTTTCGCAGTCAATACCAGATGTCAAGCAGGAATCCGGCGCCTTTCTCCTTGATGTGTGCCGGCATTTCGTTCTCATTGAAGTGGGTAGATCTTTGATCGACCTGAAGCGAAACTATAACCCCTTTGACCCGAAAGCCGGCGAAGGTCCGCTAACTATTGACACCCGTGTCTTGTCGGATGCAATTGTCGAATCCTTGGCATCAGACCACCCAGACGTCCGTGAGGCGGCACAGCAAGCGATCCGGGAACTTTACAAATGCACGGCTCTCATTCTTGGCTCCGAGAGCAATGTCGGCCGTCTCCATCTCTTTAACCACCTGAGCAATACCTTTTGCCACAGCTGCTACGAGGAAGAATGGTTCACAAAGACGGGAGGAAGCCTTGGCATTAATTTCCTGCTCACAGAACTTGACTTGGGCGATGCTTGGGTGACGTCTAAGCAGACCGAATTCATTCGCGCTCTGATGTACGTCATCAAAGATATGCCGCTGGACCTCCCGGAAAAGACGAGATGCCTTGCACAGACAAGTCTGGAAGTATTGCTCAGGCGCATCACTAAGAACATCAAGAAGGAAGATGCCCTGCCAATCCAGCAGCAGCCTGGCCAACCGCAGGCCAAGCAACCCCGCCTCGCCCAAATCTGTATGCAGTTCAACAATGAACTTTCTCACATGAACAAGTTTGTCCGCGAGACAGCCAAAAACTCACTGGATCTTATCGCGAAAGCTGCTGGCTGTGAGGTATGGCAGCTCGTCGAGCCCTACAAAGAAAGATTTCTTCAGCCCATCTACGCCAAACCTCTTCGTGCCCTACCTTTCCCGATACAGATTGGATACATCAATGCCATGACATATCATATGGGACTGAAAAATGACTGGGTCACTTTTGACGAGAATCTCAACCGTCTGCTTATGGAGTCGCTCGCATTAGCTGACGCAAACGACGAGTCCTTGGCGAACAAACCTGCAGAGTTCAGGACGCATGAGCATATTGTGAACTTGCGAGTTTCCTGTATCAAACTTCTCAGCACTGCGATGACGTTTGAGGAATTTGCCAACAACCCGACCAAGGGTAAGATTCTTTCGGTCTTCTTTAAATGCCTCTATTCTGAATCAAAGCCAACGATCGCGGCGGCAAACGATGCCTTGAAGTCGGTCTTGGCCGTTGACAGACGCCTCCCCAAGGATTTGCTCCAGAGCGGTCTGCGTCCTGTGCTGCAGAGTCTATCGGATCCAAAAAGGCTCAATACGCATGGGCTGGATAACCTGTCAAGGCTATTGAAGCTTCTGACAAGCTACTTCAAGGTCGAGATTGGCGCTCGCTTGCTCGATCAGATAGAGTCTATTGTTGAGCCTAATGCGTGGCAGCAAATTTCATTCACATTTTTTGAGCAGCATCCTCAGATGAAGGTTATCACCGCTATTCTCAACATCTTCCACCTTCTACCAGCTCCAGCAGAAGCGTTCAAAGACCGCTTAATTGACTGCTTCCTCGGGCTTGAGGAGCGGCTTCGACGGACTCATCAGAGTCCATTCCGGCTGCCAATGTTCCTATACTTGAATCGGTATCCCAAAGAGGTTTGGGCTTATCTACTTGGGAAGCTGGATGATCTAAAATATGGCCGACTACTAGCCCAAGTCCTCCTGCACCCAGATAGCACGCCGTTGAGAGAGACTGCCGTGGAAAATTTGGAAGGGTTGATCGCAAAATGCAACGAAATTGTCGGGCAGAACAACGAAAAGAAGTACGTTGCCATTGTCAACACGATTCACATTCTCCACTCCATCGGCCAATTCCCAGCCTCTAGTGCTTGGATGGATAAGAGGGAGCACCTTAATTGGCTGAAAGCCATTGGGAGAGACCTCGAAGCAAACATTCGAGGCTATTCGCTTCCAGCCTTTGTGCGACTGCCGGGCTACCAAGCCGCCGAACAACTGATGAATATTCTCGTCAAGTCTCTGGAGAGATCACCGAGAGACTTGGATGCTCTATTCAATCTGGTTGAGTCTGTTGCCGCCGAAGAGCTCCGCTCGACCCAGCCTTTATTCTCTTTCATTTATGAAAAGATTATCTGCAGCGACTCCATGGAGTTTTGGAAGTCGACGTTCCTTCGCTGCCTCGAAACCTACTCAGGGAAGACGGCCTCGAACAAAACAAAATACTTCTTACTCCACTACATCGTCAACCCGATTGTTGCCACGGATGTCATGCGGCATTGGAACCAACCAGAACAAAGTAGGGTTCAGAGGCTGATGGATCGAACCATCATCGATGCCGTGAGCACTAAGATCTGGAAAGTACATCCCGAGATGACCCCAGATGATTTGGCCCAGCCAGGAATCGACCACATTAGGTTTGAGGTGCTCCAGCTGTCCGCAATGCTTGTCAAATATTACCACGCGACACTCCAAGAAGCACGCAAAGACATTATCAAATTTGGGTGGACATTCATACGCCTAGACGATATTATCAATAAGCATGCAGCGTACGTTGTGATAGGCTATTTCATTGCCCATTACGAAACGCCTCCGAAGATCGTCAGCCAGGTTTACTTGTCGCTACTCAAGACTAATTCTAATGAAGGCCGAGCACTGGTGACGCAGGCCTTGGAGCTTATTGCTCCGGTTTTGCCTAAGCGCTGTGGCACGGGTCCAAATGATAGGAGCACACCATGGGCCGTGGCACCGCGTCGCATATTGGCTGATGAAGGCCAAAACATGCAGCAGATGACAAGCATCTTCCACTTCCTTGTGCGGCATCCTGAGCTCTTCTACGATGCTCGAGATAAATACGCTGTCCTCATCATCACGTCCTTGAGAAAGGTTGCTGCACCGCCAAACCCCTCTCACGAGAGTAAAAAGCTCGCCCTGAACATGATGTGGCTGATTTGGACCTGGGAACAATGGCGGATCGAGGGCAAAACATCACCTCTTCTGACGACGAGATCGCTATCTGAGTCGCCGGTTTCGAGGAAACGAAAGCTGGACAGCGATCAAGCAATGACATCCCCTTCAGCAACCAGGCAAACAGCGGATCGACCAGAGTATCAAATCCCACCGCTGTTTCGCCTTAAGATGGTTAAATATTTGGTTGAGTTCATTGCGCAGCTTAACGAAAGGTATCAACTGCCGTCGGCTAAGCCCCGCGGATCCCCAGCTGGTGCTCTTCCGCAAGCCGGGCCCAATATGACGGAGCTTTGCAAGAAAGCCATGGCGCTCCTTTACAACCTCGTACAGCCCCAATGCTGGGGGGACCTTGACCTCGACCTGTTTCCCAACGTCACCGATGTTATCCTTGCTCACGATAGGACACAGGCAGCTCTTAACGCCGATCCAACTGATAAGGAAAAATACGACGAAAAGTTCCTCACCAACATCATCAACACGCTGCAAGTGGTCCGCATTCTTCTAAATTTCAAGTCAGACGAGTGGATACAAAGGAGCATCGCCCCAATTCAAAAGGTCTTGGAGAAGTGTCTCAAGTCGGAAAATCCAGAAGTTCAAGATTGCCTGCACCTCTCGGACAAGGAGTATGATGATGGGCGAGAGCTAAAGTCCATCGTTCGGCGAATTTTGGATGCGGTGCCTGAAGATACGCCTATGGAGGACGCGGATGCTGAGGGCGAATCCGAAGTACAAACATCTGAGATTGTTGCCTATCTCTCACAGGTAGCAACAGAACAGATGAACAGCAATCTCTACGTTTCGGGTGTCAACATCTTGTGGTCGCTAGGCAATCGCAAGCCTGCCATCATTGATCAGCATATCCCTTCGCTTATGAAAGCTATGCAGAGTAAGCATGCACGAGAACATGTACAACACTACAGTGCTCTGGCGAATCAGGCAACTGGGGTCCAGCGGACCCAAGAAGCCAACGGCACTACTGGAGAGCTCTCCGCGTACGAGCTTGAGATGCAAACCAAACTGATGATCAAAGAGATCCAAGTCGTGGCCTTGAGGATGGAGACTCTAGGCGACAATCGACGACCATTCCTAAGCGTTTTGGCGACGCTCGTTGAAAAATCCATGCACATTGAGCTATGCACGGAAATTTTGGGCATGGTAGAAGGGTGGGTGTTTAGATCTGAAGGTACCTGGCCGACACTCAAAGAAAAAACGGCGGTCCTTCATAAAATGCTGTCCTTTGAGCACAGGCAGGATCCCACAATGCTCTCCAAGTTCTTGGAGTTGGTGATTCGCATCTACGAAGATCCCAAGATTACCCGAACGGAGTTGACAGTACGGATGGAGCACGCCTTTCTCATTGGTACTAGAGCGGTTGACGCGGAAATGCGGAATCGTTTCATGGCGATTTTCGACAAGAGCTTGTCCAAGACAGCTAGCATCCGCCTCTCATACGTGTTGACGTCGCAAAATTGGGATACTCTTGCGGATTCTTACTGGCTTGCCCAGGCCAACCACCTTTTGCTGGGAGCAGTGGAATTGAACACCAACATACAGCTTCACCCTGATGATTTCAAAGTCATCGCCCCATCTCAGCTGGCTGCAGTCTACCCCAAAGACAAGGATACGAGAGAGCCAACCAACATGGTTGATGAGAAATTCGAGACTCTCATGGCTAGCCATCGACGATTCATGGCCGAGCTGGGAGATGTAAAAGTCCGGGACATTATCGAGCCGTTGACGCAACTACAGCATATTGATAACCAGCTGGCTCATCAACTCTGGGTGGTCGCATTCCCAATGTACTGGTCCGCCACTTTGCGAGATGAGAGGCCAGAGCTTCAGCGCGGTATGGTTGCGCTTCTGACAAAAGACTACCACAGCCGTCAAATAGAGAAGCGTCCCAATGTTGTTCAGTCCTTGATAGAGGGGGCCGCAAAGACTTGGCCAGAGTGTCGACTTCCTCCGCATGTCTTGAAGTTTGAGGCGAAGACGTACGATGCTTGGTATACAGCCCTCGTACAGCTCGAGAATGCATCGATTAATCCGGGACCCGATTCGGCTACTGTCCGCGAGAGCAATCTCGATGCACTTGTGGATCTCTACGCAGCTTTGCAGGAGGACGACCTTTTCTACGGGACTTGGCGTCGTCGTTCTCAGTTTGTAGAGACCAACGCTGGTCTTTCGTACGAACAGAATGGAATGTGGGACAAAGCTCAGAAACTGTACGAGACAGCACAGATCAAAGCCAGAACTGGCGTGATTCCGTTCTCTCAAGCCGAATACATGATCTGGGAGGATCACTGGGTCCTTTGTGCCCAAAAGCTGCAGCAATGGGAGATCCTTCAAGATTTTGCCAAGCACGAGAATTTCCAAGACTTACTTCTGGAATGCGCATGGCGCAACACGGAAATGTGGCAGGACGAGCAGCACCGCGAGGCTCTGGACAACATCATCAAAGGAGTTATGGACGCCCCTACGCCGCGACGAGCCTTTTTCCAGGCGTTCATGTCTCTACTAAAGTTTCACAACCAGCAAGAGGCGGCAACCGACTTTGCGCGCGTGTGCGATGAAGCCATACAGTTGTCTATAAGGAAATGGCACCAGCTTCCAGTTCGATTGACCAACGCTCACATTCCTCTGCTCCAGAATTTCCAACAATTGGTAGAGCTGCACGATGCTAGTGTCATTTGTCAGAGCTTAGCCAACACCAATGCATCTAACCTCGATGTTAAATCTGGAGAGCTCAAGCTACTGCTCGGCGCCTGGCGTGATCGCCTCCCCAATATTTGGGATGACATCACGGCTTGGCAAGACTTGGTAACTTGGAGACAACACATTTTCAACCTCATCAACCAGACATACCTCCAGCTGCTCCCACAGCAAGGCCAGCAAAATGCAGGAGGGGCTTCCTTCGCCTACCGTGGCTTCCACGAGACAGCTTGGATCATCAACCGCTTCGCTCATGTCGCGCGCAAGCATAGCCTACCGGAAGTCTGCATCAACCAACTCAGTCGCATCTACACACTTCCAAACATAGAAATTCAGGAGGCATTCTTGAAACTTCGCGAGCAAGCCCGATGCCATTACGAAAACCCGGAGGAACTGAACAGCGGTTTGGAAGTCATCAACAATACAAACTTGAACTATTTCAATCCTCAGCAGAAAGCCGAGTTCTACACCTTGAAGGGCATGTTCCTCGAGAAACTCGAGCTTAAAGAGGAGGCTGACGCAGCTTACGGTACCGCCCTGTATTTCGACATTGGAGCGGCCAAGGCTTGGGCAGAGTGGGGATACTTCAACGATAGAAAGTTCAAGGAGGATCCTTTGGACGTGAACGCGGCCAGGCAGGCTCTGACCTCTTACCTACAGGCCGCAAGCAGCTACAAGAGTGCCAAGTCACGAAAGCTCCTCTCCAGGATCCTGTGGCTCCTTAGCTTGGACGACGCTAAGGGCTCTATTGCTGCTGGATTCGACGACTTCAAAGGCGAGACTCCAACATGGTACTGGATCTCGTTCATTCCTCAGCTATTGACAGGCCTGGGCTACAAAGAGGCTCCGCGTGTCTACCAGATCCTTCTTGGAATCGCAAAGTCATACCCCCAGGCTCTTTACTTCCAACTCAGGACAAACAGGGAAGATATGATGGCCATCAAGAAAACTCAGGAAGCGAAGGAGAAGGCACGTCTAAGGAGTCAATCCGCTACAGCGAACGGCAAACCCAGCTCTGCTTCCCCGTTACAGACAAAACAAGAAGCGCCCAAGGCTGAGGGAGCAGCATCACGCCCAGGTACTGCCAGTGGTGGCGATGCAGCTCACATCAAGACGGAGAATGGCGAGGCGAATGGTGGCACGGCATCAGCAACGCCGGCACCCGCACCGGCAGGCCAAGAGCAATCGCAATCTCAAGCTCTCGCTCCAGGTGGGCAAGCGCAGGCCCAGCCGGCAGCTCAAAACCAGAAGAGACCGCCGTGGGAATTGACTGAGGAAGTCATGTCAGTGCTTAAGACGGCTTTCCCATTACTGGCGTTGTCCATGGAGACCATGGTTGATCAAATCCAAAAGCACTTTAAGTGTCCTCCGGATGAAGATGCATACCGCCTCATTGTCGCGCTGCTTAATGATGCCTTGACGTATGTGAGCAGAACTCCTGCATCTTTCGCCAAAAGCGTCAAGCTTCCCTCTGCCACGGAGACGAACATTACGCGGTTTGCCGAGACGATCTTGCCCAATCATATCAAAAAGTCGTTTGAGGCCGACTTTGTCGAGGTTAAGCCGACCATGTATGAGTACATCCACAAACTGAGGCGCTGGAGGACCAAATTTGAAGAGAAGCTGGATCGTCGGATCGTACACACACCTCTGGAAGCCTTCTCGCCCCACCTGAGCGAGTTCCGATACCAAAAGTTTGACGATGTTGAGATTCCTGGACAGTATCTTCAGCACAAGGATAAGAACCAGGACTTTATTCGGATAGAAAGATTCCTGCCCAACGTCGATTTGATACGCTCAGTGAATGCCTCTTATCGCAGACTCAAGATGCGTGGTCACGACGGCAGCGTTCACTCGTGGGCTGTGCAGCATCCGGCCGCTAGACACTGTCGCAGAGAGGAAAAGATTCTGCAGCTCTTTAGACATCTCAACCAGACTCTGAGTCGCAAGAAGGAAAGCCGGCGACGAGATTTGCAATTCACCCTACCGCTGATGGTTCCCTTGGCACCACACATAAGAATCGTGCAAGAAGATACCTCGTACATTACGTTGCATGGGGTCTACGAAGATCACTGCAGACGTATGGGTATGTCGAAGGATGAGCCGGTCTTGTTCACGCTGGAGAAGCTTCGAGGCGTGCTCGAGTCTAAGGGAGGACAGGTAAGCTATTCCGCAGAGGGAGAGGAGTGTCTGGCGGAGATGATGGCTAACGCATGAAATGAACAGACCAAGCCCGAACTAACGCCCACGGCGCGACTGGAGGTATTCAATGCCATCCAGGAGAAGTGGGTGCCGCCGACGGTGGCGCTGGAGTATTTCCAACAGGCCTTCCCACAATTTGCCGAATTCTGGCTGTTCCGAAGACAGTTCTCATACCAGCTGTCGGCATTGACGTTTATGACTTACATCTTGTACATGCATAACCGATACCCGGCCAAGATGAACATTGCTCGAGGGTCGGGCAACATCTGGGGCTCTGAGCTCATGTCGTTTATGAGCGCCTCTAAGCCGTTCTTCCACAACCCAGAGCCAGTGCCCTTCCGGTTGACGCCAAACCTACAGACTCTCATGGGACCTCTGGCCATGGAGGGAATATTTGCGTGCTCAGTCATGGCCATTGCACGGTGCTTGACGGAACCGGAGCACGAGCTTGAGCACGCACTGACACTGTTTGTGAGGGACGAGATGATGTTCTGGCTGATGAATAGCCACCGCAGCGGAATTAGCGAAAACCAGCTCCGCGACTCGGTGCAGCTCAACAGCGACTCGATCGTGAAGCGTGCCATCAGCCTCGCCCACAACCCGTCGGGCAACTTGCCTGCGAACCAAACAGTCATTGACGCTATCGCCAAGGCCGTAAACCCCATGAACTTGGCGCAGTGCGATGCATTGTGGATGCCATATCTTTAAGTCCAACATGGATGGTCTTTTTATTCTTGTTTTCATACTTTCTTTTCTCTCGATTTCTACTTCTACTTCTTTCCAGACTTATCCGACGTAAAGCTGAAATCGGGTGAGACGAATGGGGGAAACCTCAACCTTTTTGCGATGGCATTCAGCAAGGCGTTGGAGGAGGGGCGGAGGATTTCGTGTTTTACTCTTGCTTATCATGTATTAATCCCCAATTTTTCTTTTTGCGTTCCCTAGGCCTGGGTAGAAGAGGCGGTACGTCTCATGACAGGCTACTGGGAATATTGTTGATGAGAAATGCGGTTACAGGCTCCGTTATGAGTTCAGGAAGAGCATAGAATTGGTAAAAAAAATTCCTACAGTTACTTCTTTTCCATGTTTGATGAGGATGAAGTGAAATGGGAGGATGAATTCGATGCTGAAGAATTAATATTAATATTTTCTGATTGGTTCATGGTACTTGCTTTTCAAAGACGTGTTGCTGTGAAAGTGTTTCTTTGTCTCTCGCCGTTGATAAGAATGTCACTGGCCAAGATTTGTAACGCTGACAGAAAGTTGGTCTAGTTATTAAAGCTCCGGAGATTCCAAATTCCTGCTGAACCCCCAGTCGTTGGATGCATCCAACATGAACTGAAATAGCTTCGCACTGCTGACACTGTTCTAACCGAATCAATACTTCTCCTCAACCATTGCCCGCGCGGGTTCCGGCTTCGGGCCAAAGAGTTCCTAGTTTCCACTGGCCAAGTTCAAAACGATGGCGCCTCTTTTCCACTCCAACTAACCCGGTCGATCCTCCGCATTTTCCAAGGACTCGTAGCCACCACGGCCCACCACGGGCCGAGGTTCCATCTGGGTTCTTCATTCTGGGGGGGAAACAAGGTGATGATGACGGGATCCAGGAACAGCTTCGGATTACGGTACATGCATGCGTCAGCGTGGGATTCGGGGTTACTTGGTCGGGGGCTAAAGAGAACATGGATGTCAAGTGAGAGATGGATTTTGTGTAGAGACGGAGCAGGGGGGAAGACGGTGAGGAGGAGAAGCCCGGCATTGATACAAAAGAGGGGAGGGGTTCGTTTGTTGGCTAATTGTATGTGTAGGTAGGTTGGGTGTGTGTGGGTGCCTCGGCTCATTTCATTTCTCTCTTGTTTAGTGCTATATAAGAGGAGAGTGCATGGTATATGTTTTGATAAGATCTGTTACATCTAGAGCAATTGTTGTTATAGTTTAGTTTTGATTGAGACAAGTGCTTGGAATACGACGACGCAATGGCCAGCACCAACTTTGACAAGTTGCCGCGGAAGCTGTGGGAGCATCCTGACCGTGAGAGCACTCGCATGTGGCAGTTTATGCAAGATGTCAACAAGAGATATAATCTGAATCTGCAGGTCAGTCAGTGTTGCTTACTATACAGCGGGTTCAGCAGAAGATGGTGAGCGCATCTTTATATCGAGCCCATGCTCACGATGATTCCTGCAGTCCTTTACTCAACTGTATGAATGGTCGTGCGCACACCGCAGCGACTTTTATCAGCAACTCTGGGAATTCATACCCTACGTCTACGAAGGCACATACACCCGCGTCGTGGACGAATCCATCCCTATAACCGGAGTGCCGCAATGGTTCGAAGGCGTGCGCTTGAACTGGGCGGAAAACGCACTCTACTCGCGAGACACTTCATCGTCATCGACTGAAGCGCTATGTAAGCTAAACAAAGAAGACGACAAGATTGCATTCACAGAGGTCCGGGAGGGCAACACCGAGATTCGTCATGTTACCTGGGGGGAACTACGCCGGGATGTTGCGGCGCTGGCGGCGGCGCTGGAAGAACGAGGGCTAAAGAAGGGGGATCGAGTGGTGATTGTTGGGGGACACTCATATAGGACGTATGTGGTGTTTATGGCGACGGTGTGGTTGGGGGGGATATTCAGTAGCAGTTCGACGGATATGGGCGTGGGAGGGTTGTTGCAGAGGGCGGTGCAGGTGAATCCAAAGGTGAGAGAGAGCGGTTTATATCTCTTGAGTTTTGATCTGGAGAACTGACGAGACTGACGTTGGTTGTAGTTTGTCTTCTTTGACGATGGCGCTTTATACAACGGCAAGACCATCGATTTGAGACCCAACATTCGCGGCATGATGGAGGGCATGTCCGAATGCGACAACCTGCAATCATTCATCATCATCCAACGCCTCGCCAAACCATTCGACACAAGCGCAATCCCCAAGACAGAGCGCTTCGAAAACTTCCTCCAAGCCGGCGTCAACAAACCTCCTCCCACAGCCGTGCGAGTCGAATTCATGGACCCTTCCATCATCGTCTACTCATCCGGCACGACAGGCACGCCCAAAGCCCTCGTCCACGCCGTCGGCACCATCTTCATCTCCTCAAGCAGAGACGTCCTGCACCGGGACTACCGTCCCACCGACGTGGGCCTGCAGTACACCACCACCGGGTGGATCATGTACCTGTCGAGCGTGGCCAAGATGATTTACGGCGCTCGGTGCGTTGCGTACGACGGATCGCCGCTGGTGCCGGATCCGAAGGTGCTGCTGAAGATTGCGGAGGAGCAGAGGGTGACGGTGATGGGGGTGAGTCCGCGGTGGTTGGGCGAGTTGGTGAAGAGGGGGGTCGTGCCGCGGGAGGAGTTTGATTTGGGGAGCTTGAGGACGGTGACTTCGACGGGGATGGTGTTGCCGGACCAGATGTTTGAGTGGTTTTACGATACGGCGTTTCCGGCGAGGGCGCAGTTGGCGAACATCTCTGGTGGTACAGACATTGTGAGTGTTCTTTTCTTTGCTTTTCTGCATATCCTATCTGTTTGCCTGTGCTAGTGGTGATTCAATATAGGCCGGCTGCTTTGGACAGGAAAACCCCCTCGACCCCGTCTACGTCGGCGGCTGTCAAGGCCCGGTTCTCGGAATCCCCATCGCCGCCTACGACCACGATCTCCCCGAAGGCAGTCCCGGAACTCCCCTCCCACATGGCACACCGGGTGATCTCGTTGCCACGGCGGCCTTCCCCAACATGCCCGTCTTTCTATGGAACGACGGCCCCGGTCCAGCCCCGGGACCGAAATACCGCGCCGCATACTTTGAGCGCTTCGCCGGCGTCTGGGCCCAGGGCGACTTTTGCGCAATGAACCCGCACACGGGCGCGGTCCATATACTGGGCCGGTCTGATGGCGTGCTGAATCCGAGCGGGATTCGTTTCGGCAGCGCGGATATCTATGCGGTGATGGAGAGGTGCTTCCCGGATGAGATTGCCGATAGCTTGTGCGTGGGACAGAGGAGGCAGCAGGATGCGGATGAGCGGGTGGTGCTGTTTGTGTTGATGAAGAAGGGACTTACGCTGGATGGGAAGTTGGTGAGGAGGATAAGGGATGCGATTGCGGAGGGACTGACGAAGAGGCATGTGCCTAAATATGTCTTTGAGATTCCCGAGATACCGGTACGTTGTTCTTCTTCTTTTCTCTTCTTACTGAAGTTGTTGTGTTATGTGAGATGCTGACATGTGTTGGTGGGATGGGATAGACTACTGTGAATGGCAAAAAGGTTGAGACGCCGGTGAAGAGCATCATCTCGGGCAAGACGATCAAGCCGAGTGGAACGTTGTTGAATCCGCAGTGCCTCCAGCACTTTTACCAGTACCAGAAGATTGAGGAGCTGGTGGAACCACGGGCGAAGCTATAGATGCATGTCTGGATCTGCAAGTCAAAGATATAAGTGGTATTGTAATTCGATTAGATTATACATCGAGTCTCCGTGAGATGAGTTCATGAGTATCTTTTCGCTGTGCCATACTATTGTTACAAATTGTGTTATTACAGCAGCATCCGCGCCCCCCCCTTTTCAACATTACCCTTGGTTCAAATGCCCTTTCTCTCCCCCTTCTTGTCCTTTTCAACAAACTTACCCCCATTAATACCATATCTCCACGCCATATACCCAATCATGCCGCCCACGCTCCCAATCCCCGCCGCCCCAGAAACACCACGCCATCCCAACCTCGCAGGCCCTCCCGCTCCCCTAACGCCCATCACCCCCGTCGCCAGCAACGCCCCTCCCATGCCCCCATACGTCCAGTCGTCCGTCTCCAGCTGGCCCCTGTTCTCCAGCAATCTCCAGCTCCGATCCTGCCACTCGATGGGTTCCCGGCCCCACATCCGCGCCGTGAGGCCCACGCCGACGATGGCGGTGGTGATGATTGTGCTGCGGGTGGCTGAAAGGAGCAGTTTCTCGGACAGAGGGCCGGGACGGCGGAGGGAGGGGATGGATTGGCGGACGCTGGTTAGGACGAGGCCGATGATGCTGCCGGTGGTGACGGCGCGGGTGAGGACGTGAGTTGTGAGGATGACGTGGGAGAGAGGCTGGTCTTCGGCGTATGGTGTGTGAGGGAAGTAGCGAGACATGGTTGATGAGTTTTGATGGTTTTAATCTGAAGTTTTCTTTCTCTTCTCCCTCTTGTTGTCTCCCTCTCTGTCGAGATTGAAATGGTTGTCGTGGGTTGTGAAAGTAAAGTTGCGAGTTGAGCTCAGTTACAAGCAAGTCCTCTCATAAGCTGCCGTTCGTTGAGACCGACAGTTGCTTTGTCAATCAATCATGAAGAGAATTTCAAAACCTCGTTTTGTCTCAGCTGAGAGAATTTATACAACTTCCGCATAAACGAACAACTCGCATCGCAACAGCGAGTGACGCAATCAGCTGATTAGGCTCAACTCCTTCTCGCATTCGCTTAGTCCCAAGTCCCATGGCTTATCCCGCCGAGGCTACTAACAACGTTGGCGCTCGAGATACCCGTGTTTGTATGGCGTCTCCCGCGTAAGATTAGGTACTCGGTATGCACAGTCTGAGTCACTAGAAGCTCATGTTTTGGCACACGTCGATTGTAGCAATTGGATCTTTATCGCAGCCAATTGACGGCCGTTCTCCTTGCTGTACACCATGTCTTTAATTGTGTCTTTATTTTTTCTAGCCAATCGAAGCTCAGCTGTTTGCAATGTGAGAAAGATTTCTGGTGCGAGCATCTGTTCTAACTTACGTCAGCTTATATGGACAAGTTGGTACCTCGCATCGACTACCAAATATGGTGAACTCGGCATCGAAAGGAAGTACAAAATGAGCTTTGCAGAGGCAATCCAGAGTATTAAATATCGCTACGAGTATGGCTGGAGCAAGGCAAACCCCAATTGTAATCAACATGACAGAAATATCACCGTGGATGACGCCATTTCCACTCCTTGCCTACATAAAGCTCACCTTGCAGCATCAAAGCCTCAATCTGCACTAACGGCCAGTTTGTATAAGCGGTGTCGGATTATTATCCTACATACAGACGACAAACACGCCACTACATGCCGCTCAGCCCTGTCAGGACAGGACAAGACAATAGGCAGAACCAGCTGTGCGGGGATTCCATGGATTTACGATTACCTACGTATGAGAATGGGCATTGATTGCCGTCGTCCATACTGCTACGTCGTATTATCCTGTTTCTACTCCTTCAATTCTATTTCCAGAGCTTGACGAATCGCGGGGAACGTGAAGCTTAACCGGCTCGACACCCCATTCGCGGAATCTCGCTGTTGCGACGCTTGGCGGGAGAAAATCATGATTCGGCCCGAGAGGTGGATAGGCCTACGGATATAGCTTCGCTTGGGCTTTTTTGTCTCCAGGGATGCTGTCACTCACTACTGCGCATACGGGCTTCCAACAGCTGTCGGAGCCTGTTCCGGTCAATTGGGTTCTTCCCCAGACACAGGGCGGTCTACAAGTAAGGTATGTTCAATTGCTGTCTTACTTGCATATTCACTACTCATCAGCAAAGAGAAAAGGGGGGAGACAGGGATACCGCCTTGAATAGAAACACGTCGGATTGGCTCGCTGTTACTGATGGAGCTGAGGAAAAAAAGATGTCAAGACTCGAGCCATCATCGTCATGTTCCCGTTTGGGTAGGTGATGTGACAATCCCCCAGGGCCGAGATGAACCGATGCATCGACTAGCAAGGGACAGGGTTGCACCACATTATGCGGGGAGACGCAAAATGTAGGAACAAGGTCCCCCAGATCAACTTGTTAAGTAATATCGAAAAAGAAAAGCTCATCCGGGGTCCCAAGCTTGGAGCAATAGGGCTCCCCAGGGGGGCAAGGCTACATATATAAATGGCATCATCACCGCATCTCGACGATTGGAACTTCCTCTTTCTCTTAAGCTGCTCTTTACTTGGAAAATCTTTGACGGTACAGACGCCATGTTGACAAAAAGCGCCCTCGTCACGCTGCTCGGTGCTGCTTCATCCGCCGCGGCCGACGTGTATACCGTTCCCTCGCAGCCCAATGCCAATGGCGAGCCTCTCGATGGCTTCGTGAGCTACTCAATTGAGTTTGCTTCATTCCCCGATTTTGCCGGTAAGATATCCTCATAAACAAATTCCCTTCAAATGATCAATTGGGTCTAACTCTCTCTCCTACAGGCAACAAGTCGTCCCCAAACACGTTCTCCTACAACCTCATCAACAACCTCGGGGCTCTTCAAGGACACAAGCCGTATATCCGCGTCGGTGGCAACACCCAAGATTACGCGCTCTACAATGCGTCTCAAAAGGCATCCCTGATCGGTATCGTCGATCCCCACAGGTCGCCCGACTACCCGACCACCATCCACATTGGTGACGCCTACTTTGAGTCCTACGGCACTTGGCCCGGCGTCCAGTTCTCTCACGGCTTCAACCTCGGCCTGGGTGCCAACAGATCAGAGGGATGGGAGACCCTCGCCGACACGGTTCCGTTGGCCTGCAAAGCCCTTAGCCACGGCAACATATACACATGGGAGTACGGCAATGAGCCTGATCTGTTCTCGACGTCGGCGCAGGGCCCTGTGCGCCCCTCGAACTGGAACGAGAGCACGTATGCTTGGCAGTGGCTCAATGGCACGGCCGAGATCACGAAGCAGGTCAAGAAGCACTGCCCGACTTTGGCTCTCTTCGGAGGTCCCAAGTTTATGGCTCCTTCGTTTGCCGGCACTGGCAACCACCTCAAGGCACCGCTCACCTTCCAAGATGGTATTGACAAGAACAAGAACATTGAGTATTTCTCAACCCACAAGTAAGTTGCAGTATCCGTTTCCCTCCAAGATGAACTCGTACTAATAAAAACAACAGCTACATCAGCGGCGCCACCTCTCTCGGCGTCACCCTGCAGGGCACCCTGATGAACCACAACAGGACCGTAAGCTCCGTTCAGAGCCATCTCCCAGAGTACAACGCCATTTTCACCACTGCTCAGGCCCAAAAGGCCACTCCCCTCATCTTTGGCGAGTGCAACTCTCTCTACAACCAGGGCAGGCCTGGTCTGTCCAACACCTTTGGAGCCGCGCTCTGGGGCATTGACTTCAATCTCTATGCCGCTTCGGTTGGCTTCAAGCGCGTCCACATGCACATGGGCACCAACTACCGTGTAAGTCTAAACTTGTACTCACATCAAGACACTCATGACTGATCCATCACCACAGTACCAAGCTTGGCAACCCGTTGAGACCGATCTGGCCTCCAGGGGCACCAAGGCCCCCTACTACGGCAGCATCGCCGTCGCCGCCACGCTGGGCAACCAGGAGCTCCTCCCTGTCAGCATCACCAACATCCAACTGACCGATACTCGCGAGGCCGCCTACGCAGCTCACTACTCGAGCGGTCTTCTCAAGGGCCACCTCGCTCGCCTCACCGTCCTCAACATGCGCGGCTACAACACCACCGTCGACGGCGAGGGGCTCGAGTCTGTTCCTAACCCTCCCCCTCGCCCTAGCCAGACGTACACTTTCGCCGTGAACGCCCGTAACGGAGCGCATGTTGGCGTGCAGCGTCTGCTGGCGAACGGAAGTGATGCTATTACTGGTATTACTTTTGATGGATGGAGCTACAACTATGAGCTTGCAAAGGGCAAGCCTGTGAGGCTGCATAACGTGACTGTGGGAGAGACTGCGGTTGTGCGAAACGGACAGGTTACGGTTGAGGTGCCGGATTCGTCGGCTGTTTTGCTCAACTTTCCTCTGTTGTGAAGATGGTTTGTTTAGATAGTGTTTATGAGGTAGATGCATGATTTATGAATAATGTGTGTTATGCTCTATTTGATGTTTATTTGACAGGCAGCTGATGTGTGAGAAGAGTAGTGTAAGTGCCCGTGGAATGCACTTTCTGAGAAGCAGTGAGTGTAGTCTGTATAGATGAAAATACAAACCAGCATGTTCAACCAATCATGGGCGGATGGTTTAGTGGTATAATTTTCCCTTAGCATCGGCAGCGCTTCAGTTGCCCTCCCGCATGGGAAAGGTCCGGGGTTCGATTCCCCGTTCGTCCAGGTTCTTTTTTTGCCTTTTGTTCCAATTGCGAAGAGAGATGATTATTCGTGATACTGCGTACTTTGTGAGGGTTACCTTGCTTTGAGTGGTATTTCTTCCACAGGTTGGTTGTGCTTCAATCGACACAAGTACCTCATTCCGTAACCTGGGCATACATGGTTATTATTAAGCTGTGGACTCAACTCAGTCACCCGTCTAGCTGCCCTCTTTTGAGCAAAACCTCAAGCTTACACGATGGTTGCCGAAACGCCACAAGACGGCCTTCTTAAGCTATGGGAGTCAATACCAGAAGACTTACGCACCAGCGGCTCCTACACGTTAGATGCACTGTCCAGTACCGTTGCTTCGCTTGCTGCCAAAGCCCAGGAAAGCTCCAGCTCTCAATGCGAGCATAAGAACGAGCTGGCGAAAGCGCTCGGGAAAGTCTGCACTGCTGATGACTCCTGAGAAGACCTGCTGGAGCTTACACGCAAGGCAGCCTGGAAGTCGTACAAGAGACTCGTTGGAAAGAAGCCCAGGCCGTTTACCGAAGCCGTCTCTGACTATCGACGATGGAAGTCCGAAATCCGAAATTGGGCTGCTATGAACGGAGCCGTACCGGGAGACGTGCTCGCCGCGGCCGTCCTCAGAAACACAACTGGCCGTGCTAAAGAATGGACGTTATCCAAGAATATCGGCCAGTATTCAAAGAAGGACGGGGTCCCCGTCTCTGCGGCTGCTACATTGGAAGCAATCTTGAATGACATGGATGGGCTCTTCTCCGACCCTTGGGCCAGAGACCGAGCACTTGATAAATACAACAATGCCCGCCAAGGAACCAGACCCATTCTCGAACACAACGTCTATTTCCATAATCTAGTCGTCGAACTCGGCTACGACTCCAAGCCTCGATATACACTCAGTGATTATATTCGGTCTCTGCGCCCTGGCCGTCAGGAGAAAGTAAGAGAATGGCTTCTGTTCAAACCGCGCAAAGATCAGGATGAATGTACTCTACACCATTGCATGCTCATGGCTGGAATTTACGACAATGGAATCCCAGCGCCCAAGAAGAAGCGACGTCAACGGCGGAAGTAGGCGGAGAAGCCTATCGACATCTTTCTTTCTAGAATCGGCGAAGCAATACAAACAATTTTAGGCTTCTGCCTTCTTTGTGATGAGTCTTTCTAGCGTTAAAGTATTAGATAAATTCAGATGTTTTTTGATGGCCAGTGCATCAGGTGCTTCCAAGATGAGTGTGGGAGCAGTTTGCAGGATGTTTGTTATCAGCGTGTGAAACCTTAGTCCTTCATTCCATTTCCACCGGTAGCACAACCATCACAACACTTTGAGAGCCAGCTCAAAGAGATCAAAGAATGTTTCCTGTTCCTTCTCGGCTTTTGCGAGCCCAAATCCGAATACAAGCGTCCGTCTCTCCTCAGGAGACTTCAAGGAAATGTGGCTGGCAATTTGTGAAGCGTAAAGCTGTCCGAGGGTTTCTCTGTCGTCGCCTCCGCCTCCCAGCAGCGTCTTTGGGGCGAGATGAGTGGCGGGAAGCAGGCCGTGGCCGCTGCTTGGAAGGGCCATGTCAATTATGCCCGCAGTAGTTCCCATCATGGGCACTTGGATCTGTCATCTCATCAGCATCTTTCTGTGAATGAGGCTCTGTCAATCTCCACATACCCATTGCGCCAGTCGCCCTTCCTGGCTAATCGTGATTAAAATCTTATCAGAAAACTCTAGTAGCGTGACTTCTGTTGATACGCCATTGACCAATCCAGAGGCTGACCGACTCCGAGCTGGGAAAGCGTCTTCTCTTATATCTAATGTTGTTGCCATTGTGAATTTATCGCTTTTTGAATTGTCTGAGATGCGTCCAGGGTAAGCCGCTTGAGCTTCACGGAGCTAGATGAGAATGGTCCCCGCACTATTCCCAATCCGTATCGAGACTTTAGCGGTCGGCAGCGGCAAAATTCTTTATCCACCAAAATTTTGGTTATCGGCCTCTGCTTCTTGCGATAGCGCTGCGATTTGAACGGCGCCATTGACATTTCAGCATTGAGCGTAATGCGATAAAGCTTCACCGTCAACAAGCCTCAGAATGGCTAAATTCGTCCCCAGACAGAGAAAGCACAAGGTGCTGGCTCGTGAGAAAGCCAAGGAAAGCGCCCGCCATGAGGTCGAAGACACCAACCAGGAAATCCTGCCGGCCGCGAAGAAAGAGCTGGAGGAGAAGAAGGCTCGCATGAAGGAGCAGTTGAAGCAGGATGGCGCAAAGATGAGCGGGAAGAAGGCCAAGCGCCTGGAGAAGTACATTGACAACAAGCTGCGCAAGGACGAGAACCGCGAATTGCTGGCGAAGCTCGCGGAGAGAAAGATCGATACGAGTCTGTTTGCGAGCAGCAAATCTCTGGGACAGGGTCGCGAGACGAAGAAGCAGGCGTTGTCTCGCGCGCTAAGAGAACACAGAGCTGGTGTCGATCCTACATCCTCGGTGGAGAATGTTCTTTTTGAGCAGCGACCAGACGTTGATGAAGAGGCGGACGAAGACGAAGACGATGCGCACATGTCAGACGATGCAGCTGCACCTGTAGCACAGCCCGAAGCTGATGTACCGAAACCGGTTGCCCCGTCCACTCAAGTGCCGACCGTTACCGTTGGAACCGGTCTGAAGCGGCCACTCGAACTGGATGATGAAGGCCGGCCGGTGATTCAGAAGCGACAGAAAAGAGGAGGGCTGAAGACCAAGGTATCACTCGTTGCAGAGACACAACAAGAGTCTGAAGAATCAGGAGATGATGAAGGAGATGATGAATGGAACGGTTTCAGTGGCGACGATGACGACAAGGCTGAGAAAGATGACGATGACTCTGACGAAGAAGAATCTGAAGGCACCTCAGACGAAGGCTCCGAAGACGACGATGACTCCGAATCCGAAGAAGAAATAAGCGAGGAGGAAGAAGACGAAGAAGAGATGGACGAAGAGCAAAAGAGCCAAAGGTCCTCCTCCTTTAAAGCATGGGCCCATCAGCAACGAAACGAGGCGCTTGGATACCAGCCCGTGGATGCAAATTCAGCCGTTTTGGAGATACCGAAGCCCGAGAATTTCGTTCCCAGAGCTCCCGAACAGGACCCATTACCGATGGAATTGCAAGTCACCGAGAAAACATCAAGAAAGGTCTTTAGTGTGGCTGTTGTAAGAACACCCGAGATCGAAGAGGCTCGCATGAAGCTCCCGGTCGTCTCTGAAGAACAGAGGCTCATGGAGGCAATTCACAACCATGACATTGTCGTAATCTGTGGTTCCACTGGTTCGGGAAAAACAACACAAGTGCCTCAGTTCTTGTATGAGGCGGGTTATGGATCTCCTGACTCCCCTACACCGGGATTAATTGGCGTCACGCAGCCCCGTAGGGTTGCTGCTGTCAGTATGTCTAAGCGAGTGGGCGATGAGCTGGGAGACCACTCAAGCGCAGTGGCCTATCAGATCCGTTTTGAAGGCAATGTTGATGCAAAGACGGCCATCAAGTTCATGACTGATGGTGTGCTGCTCCGAGAGGTTGCGCAAGATATTACGCTGCGAAAGTATTCAGCCATTGTCATCGATGAGGCTCACGAGAGAAGCGTCAATACTGATATCTTGATTGGAATGCTTAGTCGAGTCATTAAACTCAGAACTGAGCTATCCCAAGAGGACCCAACGATTAAGCCCCTGAAACTCATCATCATGTCTGCCACTCTGAGGATAGAGGACATGACAATGAACCCTAGCCTGTTCTCAACACCCCCACCTGTTGTCGAGGTCGAAGGACGGCAACATCCCGTAACTATCCACTTCGCTCGTCGTACTCACCACGACTATGTTGAAGAGGCATTCAAAAAAATCAGCAGAGGCCATAAGAAACTACCACCCGGAGGTTTCTTGGTTTTCTTGACAGGCCGCAATGAGATTCTGCAACTGAGCAAGAAACTCAAGGCGGCTTTCGGCGGTCCCAGGTCAGCTGAGGGCCCCAAGGTGAAGATCTCAGCGACCGAAGCGCCAGTCGAAGTTGAAGATCTCGACTTTGGCGACGTTGATGAGCATTACTTTGACGATGTGGATGGCATCGAGTCTGATGATGAAGAAGGGGATGACGAATTCAAACTTGAAGAGGAAGATGATGAGGTTGTTCCTCTCAAGATGCAGGTACTGCCTCTGTACTCTTTGCTTCCAGTCAAGGAGCAGCTGAGAGTCTTTGAAGAGGTTCCCGAAGGAACTCGGCAGATTATCCTTGCAACCAACGTTGCTGAGACCAGTTTGACTATACCCGGTATTCGATTTGTGTTTGACTGCGGACGCTCAAAAGAACGGAACTACGATCGCCTCAGTGGTGTACAGAGCTACGAGATTGGCTGGATCAGCAAGGCCAGCGCAAGCCAGCGATCGGGTCGTGCTGGACGTACGGGCCCAGGTCACTGCTACAGACTCTATTCGTCGGCGGTTTACGAGAGAGATTTCCAAGAGTTTTCAGATCCTGAACTGCTGCGGATGCCCATCGAAGGCATCGTGCTGCAGCTCAAGGCGATGAACCTACAAAATGTCGTCAACTTCCCCTTCCCTACACCTCCCGACCGACAAATGCTCGCCAAGGCCGAAAAGCTCCTCACATATCTATCTGCGATATCTCCCAGCGGCCAGGTTACCAAGGTGGGAACAACAATGTCATTGTTCCCCCTGTCACCTCGATTTGCAAGAATCTTGCTCGTTGGACACCTCCACAACTGTTTGCCATATACAATTGCTCTCGTGGCTGGACTATCCGCGGCAGAAGTCTACCTCGCAGAGAATCAGGCAATTCCAGCTCTCGCCGAAAAGGAAGACACAGCAATCCGCACTGCTGCTGATGTTATCGCCGAAGATCGCCAGGCCAACGTCAGGCGACTGTTCAACCAAGTCCACAAGAACTTTTGCTTCTTGGACGACAAGTCCGACGCCATCAAGCTTCTCCAAGTGGTCGGCGAGTTCGCACACGAGCCAACCGAGCAATGGTGTGAAACCCATTTCGTCCGCTACAAGGTCCTCAAAGAAATCCAGCAACTACGGAAGCAAATCACAGATTTACTACGAACAAACATCCCCTCCTTCGCCGCATTACAATATCAAGAAAAGTTGGACCCTCCCTCACCGAAGCAGGTCAGCGCGCTGAAGCAAATGACCGCAGCCGGCTTCCTGGACCAAGTCGCCATCCGCGCTGATCTGGCACCCAACCCACCCGAGCAGTTCAGAAAACCTCGTCGTGCAATCGACGTGCCTTATATCCCGCTCATCCCTCTCAACAGACCCGGCAGAGGCGAAAATCCCTGCGTCTACATCCACCCTACTTCCTCGCTCGCACACGTCAGTCCCCAGGAATGCCCCGAGTACATCGTATACGCCTTCCTCCAGCGCGCCACACCTTCCGGCGCACTCGACTCGGAGAAGAAGCCCAAGACGAGAATGCATGCGCTCACCGATGTGACGGGCGGTCAGCTTGCTGGTCTGGCAAAGGGCACGCCGCTCATCAGCTATGGAAAGCCGATCAAGGAGGTCAAGGCTCAGGCTCTGGGTGCCGATGGAGCCACGACGCGGGAGTGCTGGGTCGTTCCGTATTTGAGGGCGGAGAATACCGCGGGACAGGGATGGCCGTTGCCGGCGCAGAAGGTGAAGCAGAAGAAGATGGCGGGCAAAGGATGGATTGTGGAATGAAGAAGACATGAAGATGAATAGAGTATCTCATAATGGCGTTAATGGGCGGGTAAAAATGAGTGAGAATAATTAGATGAAATAACAAAGCGATATCATGGTGTATCCATGATAAGTTTCAGTGTGTCGTATATGTGAATTGGAATAATTCTCATTATATGCTATTTTTTACGCATGTCTATTTCCCCGTACAATCATTCGGATCCATCTTCGAGCCGGGTATCAAAAACCAAAAACGCAAACGCCGTTCCCCCCTCTTCTTTCCAAAAACGCCAACAACACGTCCGGATATAAAACAGTCCCTCTCATGAAGCTCCAGGCGTCGCAGCAGGAGTCACGCTCGGGCTCATCTTGCTCTTCTTCCTCTTAAGCTTGGGCATCGTGGCTGACTTCGGCGTCTTATCCGGCCTGCCGTCCTTTTTATCATCCAGCTTCGTATTCAGCATAGGAGGTCCGCTCATAGCGCTAATACCCGTGGGAGCCGCGCCTTGGGGAGGAAGAACGGGCTTGCGACCTGTAGAAGAGAGGTGGAACTCTCCCGGCTTGCCGGTGATGGGGATCTCGTCGATATATTCGCCTCCGTATCTCAGGTGGATCATGAAGGATTCTTCGGCGACTCTGTCCATGAAGGGGGCGTCGTGCTTGGCTACCTCCGAGAGAGGTTTGCCGGCCTCGTCGAGTACGGGCTTGTCCTCCTTGGATTCTTGTGGCTTGGGCTTGGTGGAGGATTTGCTTGCGGGGAGTTGGTATACGTGGCCTGTGGAGGGACGCCATTTGCGGGCTGCCTCGGCGGCTGGCAATGCCTTTGCGATGGCTGAAGATATCGTCATCTAGGAGCAGAGGTCAGCTGTGTATGCCGAATGAGGGTATTCCGGCTTTTTCACATACGATTCTTGAAGCCAGAATATCTGCCAAAGTGGGAGCCATGTAGATGTTTTCGCCCACGACAAAGAATGAAGCATGGACAGTGATCTCGTCATCATCTTGGTACCGTTTCCGCCTCGTCTGCTTCCGAATGACCCAAACACCTGTTCCCATGCCCGGACCTGTTTCGGCCGGCTCCTCCCCCACGATGAATTCCAACCCCGACATTGTCTTGAGACGTGTTTCAAAGGCCTCGCGCGTCTGGATGTAGTGATACATGGCCGTGTTGTTCATTGCCTGGGCCATAATGACGGCGTTGTTGGAGGTGCGCTCGAAGAAGGGCGATTCGGCAAAGTAGAAGAGGATTGTGTTGGAGTGGAGGCCGCCCATCTGGGCCACGATCTGGGGGGAGCGCCATTGGATCTCGTCGAGGGGAGGATCGTTGGGATTCGCCATTGTGAGAGCGTTGGGTTGGGAGTTGGTGACGGAGAGTGAATGGTTTAAAGTGAGCTTGCAGAGGATTAGAAGCTTTTAGTGGATAGGCAGCTGTAGAGGCGCTATTACAGAGGCCGTGGGGCTCCGGCTTAGCGGCCCCGCGGGTGGGTCATGAATTCTGCCAGTGCTGCATCTTTCATTAACTAACTAAGTTGGCACATGCATCTTTCAGCTCTCGACTTTTCTGCATTCTACATTCTTAGCCAAGGGTCATCAATCATTGGCCGTCAATCTTGGATCATTGACTCCATATTTATTATAATATCTTCACACCTTATACAGCCTCGATCATGGATTTGCTTTCGACCATCCGCAAGACCGGCTCCAGAGGTGGCGTAAACTTTAGCTGGGACGAAGTCGCCAACTCCAACCACCGCGAAAACTATCTCGGCCACAGCCTCAAGGCGCCAGTTGGACGATGGGCCAAGGGACGAGATTTGAACTGGTACGCCAAGTCGGAGGCCACGGCGGCGGAATCGGCCGAGACAGACGAAGAGCGCAGAGATCGCGAGCAGAAGGAAGAGCTGCGCAAGATCAAGGAGGCGGAGGAAGACGCAATCGCTAAAGCATTGGGTTTACCGCCTCCTCTGCGAAACACATCCGGGGCCAATGCCATCGAAGTCGAACCTAAGCGGCAAGCAGGTCCCGCGAGTGGACCGCCGAGAGATGATGCGAAGCCAGAGAGATCGAGACGACATGGCGATGATAGAAGAGAGCGAAGAAGACACAGAAGTAGGAGCAGGAGCAGGAGTCCTGACAGGCGACGCGACAGAGACTACCGACGGCGCAGTCGTGATCGAGCCGAGGGACGGGATGAGCGCGACCGGGATCGGGATCGTGAGCGTCGACACCGCCGAGATCGCGACAGGAGTCGAAGCAGAGACCGTCGTGACAATAGGCGAGAAGATCGGGAAGATGGGAAAGGCGAAAGGCGAGGCGAAAGACGACACAGGGACAGGAGCAGGCAGCGACATCGATCTCGATCCAGGGAGCACAGACGACGAAGCCCTGGGCCAAGCTCGCGCCGAGAAGATTAAACTGGAAGACATAGCTCGTTTGCTGGCGTTTGGTACTTGGTTATAGTAAGCAATGATACCCGATATATCCACCTGGCTCTAGGAATCTTGAAGTCAGACACTAGAAAAGGTATATCCAAGGCTGTCCCCAGAGACCCCAATATCCACCAGTTATACACCAGCCCGTCGTAATTCCAAATCCTCAGCCGCCTGTAGGTGATGACCTGTATCATGCAACAACAATTGGATGGTTCATTATTAGAAGCATTGAAAATGTTTTCCTACGACGTACTCAAGGAGTATCAATTACTCGGTACAACCTATAGGTATCAAGGGATGCAGGTAAGAAACCTGTTGCTCTTTCTCCGGCTCGATTGCTTGTTTCCTAAAGCTATCATGGATGTAGTCTAGGTCCTGGAATCTGTAAGGCTTTGGTAGAGTTTGGCTTAATATTTTGTATTCCTATTGCGCGAGAACTCGAGTCTCCTCGGGCAGACGCTTCTCTCCAAAAGGACTCGATGTAAGTGCTTGAAAGCCATCAATTTTGGCCGCAAATCATGAAGAAACTTGCGGGATTTAGAAGCAAATCGTCTACCCAATAGATTGATGCTATTCTGCCCCCTCAGCATCCAGATTGCAGACCAGGCAGCTGACACTACAGCATGCCTGTGTGAGGGGCTGTATGCATGTACTCTGGCCATAGGAGGACAAGAGATCTGGAGGCGAGTGAAGCTTCACATTCAGGCAACATCTCAAGCTAAAGTTTTTCCATTCTCGTCTGATATTCCTCAAAGTGTTGCAAACGCTCAAGACATGGAAGGCAAAAAGTTGGCTTTATTTATTTGCACCTGCGAAGCATCTGCTAATGATATGAATGTAGAAAACTCAACCATGGTGCCTATGCAGTTGGATGGGCTGCTGTATTGCGCTCTGAGCTCAACGCATCTAGAGCGCTTCTTGATGAAGAACACGAGCCCTTGCAGCCAGCAGACAATGACGACAACATCTATCTCCTAGGCCGGATGGGGGAGCATAATGTCGTGATTACTTTCCCCGGGTCAGGGACATATGGAACCAACGCTGCGGCACAGATGGTCACTAATATGCTTCGCACGTTTCCAAATATCCGATTTGGGTTGCTGGTCGGCATAGGAGGAGGCGTTCCAAGGCCGCCAGATCTAGAAGATGCAAGCAAGGACATTCGGCTTGGTGATGTTGTTGTTGGCAACCCCAAGGGAAATCACGGTGAGCGCTGTATTTGCTTGCAATCTTTACCTTTCAGTCCTTTATTTTCATTCGGGGTGCTGGGTGAAGCAAGCTGAACACAGTTGGCATAGGTGGTGTTCTTCAGTACGATATGGGCAAGTGGAATAACGATCAAGAGTTTACCATTCAGTCGCATCTGAACAAACCGCCTGGGTTATTGCTAAAAGCTACCCAACTATTGCAATCGGATCATGATTTCAGAGAGGGAAGAATGAACCAATACATTCAAGACGTTGCATCAAAGTCCTCGGAACTGAAAGCATTAAAAGAATATCGGTTCCCAGGACGAGCGAGCGATCAACTGTTCAAAGCAACTTATCCACACTCTGGTGATGATGACTGCTCAAGCTGCAACGCCGAGATGGTTGAGAATCGCTTAGTTCGAGACTCAGATGAACCAACAGTACACTACGGTCTTATAGCATCAGCAAATGCTGTCATGAAGTCGGCCCGGCGTCGCGATAAACTCCGAGATGCATGGAATGTATCCTGCTTTGAGATGGAAGCAGCAGGGCTCATGGATAGCTTTCCATGCATGGTAATCCGGGGCATCTGTGATTACTCGGACGATCACAAAAACACATTGTGGCAACCCTATGCCGCCGTGGTAGCTGCGGCATATGCAAAGGACCTCTTGCGGATTATCAAACCGAAAGAGATGGAATCCATTCCCCCAGCGGTGCAGACGGTTGAGTCCGACAAAGGGAGTGGAGGGAGAGTAGACAAGAGTCGCCAACAGGCGTCTTTTCAACCAGGGGTTGCAGAGGCTACTGACAGCAGACCAGCCACCTTGCGCGAGTTTAATCAGTTGCGAGGCATCTTGGAAAGAATTGAGAGCCGACTCAGCAAACTAGAGGAGAAAGCCACAGCTACAAGCCAGACACCAACACCTCAAGCTGTCAGTGCCGGCCAGCAAAACAAGTCCAATCCAGCTGGAGCGAGCCGACAATGGTCACCTGCTGTGTGTCGACCAAAATCTCAAGATGAGATGACGAGAGAGGAGAGAAGCAACATCCATCCTGTTGCCTTCAGAATTCCGGCTGACTGCACTGTCTCTTCTCCTCCTAAGAGAATCAGATATAAAGGCCGGGAATACCAACTCTATTTCAGTGGTCCAGGTCTGGGATCTTTGCTGGTGAATGAGTCCAATTGCATTCTCGACAATGGACTCCTTGTGCCTACCCTACTGGGTCCAAACGGAATATCCCATATGTTTTTCTTCGATTGGAAGAATTCAAACATTCGATATTCTCTCCCCCCGAAAGGATCATCATCTAATGCCTACCCACCCCAGGTAGGTATTGAAATATTGGGATCACCCCAGGTAGGTACTGCACCATTGGGATCGATGTTGAGCATGTTGTTGTAATGCGAAGCATAGACATCAAGCTACACCACAACTACCTATCTACCTAGGTAGTATGGCTAGGAGGTGCCTTTATGTGGCCTCAATTCTTTTTTACCTTGTTCTTCCATGCTTCAAATGTTATTATACTCGGGCAAGTATTATGATATCGCAACATCCCATTTCACCTTTTACTGCAGCGCTTGAATTCCCATTATTATTTACCAAGGCACCACAGTACAGGTCTTGATATCGTACTAACCTCTTGGTCTACTAAGGTGCAGACAAGGTACCCTACAATGGATCTGTCCGGCGCAATACGGTACCTAACCTTAGTACCTAGGTACTGCAAGACGTGGCAGTAAACCAGCGGTTGGATAAAGAATAGGTACCTACCTAGACTTAAAGTTTTTACAACAGAAGCCTAACACATAACTGTCGTAACAAATGCCGGCCCATCTGAGCTTAAACTCTCCAACGTATTGTGGCGTTACTGATGGAACTTAAGGCCGGAGACTTGATGGTTACTACCTTATAGTACAGGTAGGTAGTGCCGGCCGCTATGGCGACTCCCCTAAATCTCGAATTCACGTGCTGCACAGCGGTCGACATTGATGAACCAAGGCACAAGCCGCAACGTAAGCTCGACTCTCATTCACCAACTTCTCCCTTCAACGGTGCGGGCATCCATGCGCGGGGGAGTTTGTGGTTCTAGACTCTTCTCTCTTTTGTTTGCCACGGTTTATAGACTTGCTGACTCGTCAGTTGAACCCTGCATCTCTTCCCCTTTTGCCGAGCTGCGGCCTTCGTACTGACCCTGGTGATGCCTCTAGTCTTGCGCCGCAAACCATAGAGAATGCACCTCTGAGTTGCTAAAACATCTGCGACCATGGCGATGGACTACTCGAGCCTGCGGGCGGCCGCTTTGCGGGACGGCGAAGACGAAGAAGCCGTCACTGTCGACACCCGCGCTCTCATTGACAAGGTCCTGGCCCGTTACTCAGGAGAGTGGACGACGCTGCGAGAGCTCATTCAGAATGCGGCCGATGCGCAAGCCACGACTGTTTCGATCAAGTGGGAGACGCACCCGTCAACAACTGTCCCTCTCCCCAGCGCTGCGGACCGATCCGAGCTGTTGAAGCATACGATAGCCAACCACACGCTGCGGCGGCTGGTTGTCCAAAACAACGGCCAGCCGTTTACAAAGACAGACTGGGGCCGTCTGAAGAGAATCGCAGAGGGAAACCCCGATGAGACCAAGATCGGAGCGTTCGGTGTCGGCTTCTACAGCGTCTTTGCCGACTGCGAGGAGCCCTTTGTTAGCTCGGGCAGCGAGGCCATGGCCTTTTACTGGAAAGGAAACTCTCTCTTTACCAAAAAGTCACACCTACCCGAGGATAAATCGTCGCCATACACCGCCTTCGTGCTAGATTATAGAAATACGACGACTCCCATGCCGAACCTGCTCTCCGTCAGCCAGTTTCTTGCTACAAGTCTTACCTTTGTTGCGCTGGAGAAGATTGAGTTTTGGATCGATGACCATCTGATTCTTTCCCTCCACAAGAAGACGTCTCCCAATGTTGACCTGATGCTGCCTCGCGACCTGGAGGCCAGGACAAAAGACAACATTATGAAAGTGACGAGCGTAGGTCGTACAAGCACACAGATTGACGCATCCTTTATGAACGTAGTTGGATGGAAGCCCCAAGCAGCAGCATCCGCTGCAAAAGCCTCGGATTCATACGGTTCCACCGAGGCTCCCTCTCTGAGATCCTTCTTTGCGAAATTCACCACGACAACCTCGAACAGCCCTCTCTTCAAGACAAAACAGCAGACAGAGGAGACTCAAGCTCAGACAAAAATTATGGAAGATGTTACCGCGTTGAACAAAGCAACAATATTCCTCAGGGCTACCACTGCCAACATCAAGACCCACGTCTCCGCTTCCTTTTCCGCCGAGCTTGAGCGTGCGACCAAGAAGCCTCCGCCAAAGACCACAAAGATATCCATTCTCACTACATCATATGACGAGGCTGAAGCTTCCAAGGGCTCGAACCCAGATAACGACGCTTTTGCCAAGGCTACAGATGTCTTTGCTTCTGTGCTGCCAAACAAGAAGCCGGGTGGTCGCATCTTTATTGGATTCCCTACTATGCAGACAACCGGCGCTGGAATGCATATTTCTGCCCCGTCTGTCATCCCAACTGTCGAGAGAGAGGCCATTGACCTGAACGCTCGCTGGGTCAGAACGTGGAACGTTGAACTTCTCCGAGCCTCTGGCATCATAGCCAGATTAGCCTTTGCCAATGAGATGAGCGAGCTCGATCGCAAAGTAAGGCAATCATCTGAGGCTGGCAAGAAAATATCCGCCGAAATAGTCAACCGATTCATGCCCGAGGCGCTGCACATTCTAAAGACATTTACCTTTGCCGACTCTACGCCAAGCAGCCAAGTCGGACAGACCATCGAGGAGGCTTTCTGGACCTGTTTCAAGAAGGCCTCCATCGAGGTGTATTCAAGCCGAGGTGTCTTGCAGACATCGCAAGTTCGTCTAGGATCGACAGAGCTGAGTGCCTTTGTGGATAGCATCCCAGTTGTGCCCAAGGACATGACAGATGCGCCATTCGTGAGGAAGCTGATAGACTTTGGGCTCATCTCACACATCACCGTAACGGATGTCAAGGAAGAGCTGGAAGCCAAGGCCCTCACGAAGAGCCAAGCCATCAACTTTATAAAATGGGCGGGCAAGAAGAGTTTGACTGGCGAGATTGACCCGGGAAGCAGGGCCGCGCTTATGGACGTTGCCGTTGCCACTCTCGGCGATGAAAACGACAAGGGCGAAATCGTGGCCCTTGGCAGTATAAGCAATTATCTTAGTCTTTCAAAGATTCCTGCTAATATGCCTGTCCCTCCAACAACCGTTCCATATGCTCTCATTGTCAACATTAGTGCTTCTGAACTGGAAGCTCTTGGGTGGGAGCCTTTGGAGATTGTGCCGTGGCTGCGATTTCTCATCGAAACCACAGCCTCTAGGGCGGAAGAGGAGAGTGTCACTAGATCTCCTAAATTTGCTGTCGCCGTCCTTACAGTGTTGTCCAAGAACTGGGAACACATGACCATGATTAATAAGGGCACGATGCAGAATCTCGTCCAGTCAACTCCGATGATGCCGACCAAGCTGGGCTTGAGAAAGCCTGCAGAGTCTTTCTTTGCCACTGTCAAGCTCTTCGATGACTTACCGGTCATCCAAGGTTGCGAAAAGATTAAGGAAAAGTTTTTGACCGCTCTTGGCGTTCGAAAGACGGTTGACTTGGAGACCATCTTTGCCCGTCTGGTCAATGTTTCCGGTGAAGATGGCCAAAAGAAATGGAGTCATATGGAGCTCATTAAATACTTGGCCTCTGTGCAGAATGATATCCCATCAGGCGATCTTCGAAAGTTGAGAGAATCCAGAATCTGTCCCGCTGAAGCAGGGCCTAAAGGTGCGGAGCCAACAAAGGCCACGACAAAACTGTACAAGGTCTCGGAACTGTTTGAGCCCAAGGATTCCCTCCGAACTCTCCAGTTGCCCATCATTCAGTGGCCAGGACCTCCTGGTAGCTTTCGAGCGAACAGCCCTGAGGCTCGATTTCTGGTTGTCCTCGGCTTGCGGACTTTCCCCTCAGTTCCCGAGCTGGTGGACATGATGTCGTCAGGCGATCAGGCGCTGAGGACCTCGGCAATGACTTACTTCATTGCCAATCACCACTCGAATCGGTATGCCGCCTTTGATCTGAGCGACTGCCGCAAACCAATCCTACCGCTTCAGGGAAGCACCAAGTTGGTAACACCGGGTGCGTGCTTTACCAACGAGAAAGCGGCGGTGCTCGGGTTTGACATTTTGAATCGTGACCTCCATGATCACGCCAACGTAAGCACCCTTTCCCTTCGAATATGCATATTCAAACTAACAATGTATATCAGAAATTCGGCGTTGCTAGAGATCCGCCCATGGCTGAGTGTGTTAATCGTCTGCTTGCCAGCCCCCCTCAGCATCAACAATCTGCTATGATTCTCTTTAGCTATTTTGCCTCTCGCATTGGTGAGCTTGGAGAAAGCAGCTTAGTCAAGCTTCGAAATGCTTCAATCGTTCCAGTGAAGCGTTCAAGCTCTTCCGCTTCAGAAAAGTCTGGCGCAAAGCTTGCTTATATCACTCCGTCACAGGCATACATAGGAACGTCTTCAACTTATGGGGACATCTTTGACTTTGTAGACTTTGGTCAAGATGGGAACATCTTTCTGTTCAAATGTGGTGCAAAGAGCGAACCGACCAAGGTGGAGGTTGCCTATATGGCATGCAATGAGCCAGCAAGGCTTCTCAGCGTTCTCCAGAGTCCCGAGAAGTACTTGGATCTGCTCAAATCTTTAGCCGAGGCTACTTCGACTCTCCAGCGCGATAAGGAACTTTGGCGCAAGATGAAAAGCTCGCCGTGTCTCCTCGCCTATAAGGAACTTGTGGCGCCTTCCAAAGGCAATGCTAACAGCAATGATTTCGATGAGGATGAAGCTCCAATCAGGCAGTACCAGCTTGCTTCTGCTAGTCAAATCGTTGTGGTGGACGACATTATCAGCTATCGTCTCTTCAAGGAGCATTTGATATGCGCTCCTGAAGAAGACATTCTCGAGACTTTCTATGTAAGACTCGGTGCGTCAAGGCTAAGCAGCATAGTCCAAGAGGATGTGCGCATCGGCCCCCACACAGCACGGCAGCAGCTGGCTGAATCGCTCAAGAAGCACGTTCTCGAACGGTCCAAGATCTTCCTTTACGAGTACGCCAACTACCGCCGGGATGCCATTAAGCACGACGCAAAGTGGCTCGAGAGGAACCTGACTGTGGAGGTGGTCCGTTCGGTAGCGCTTCGACGAAGCTTACAAGGCCAGAGACAGACACACACTGAGAAACGCTCTGCGGCCGCGACATACAACAACAGATCATGGGTCCTGTATGTGACGGATGATGGAAAGCCAGACATGTACCAAGTTGGTCAAGCGATATGTCAAATGCTGCTCGACAGGCCTAACCAGCAAGCGTACCTGTTCTTCGAACCGTTCCTCACCCTGGATCTCCTCGGATTGCGGTCGCGTGGATACAATGTCGACCGAATTCTGCGAGCAAAGGCCGCAGAGGCGCGAATTGCAGAGGAAGAAAGGCGCAAGGCGCTGGAAGAGGAGCAAAAGCAGATTCGGGAGAGGGAGCAAAACTGGGCTCAATCCCAGGCAGAGCATTCCAAGTCTCAGCAGCTTCCACAGGCAGCGGAGGCTGCGCGGGAAGCTCCCAGATCTCCGAAATCTTCTATGCCTGGAGCCTGGGATTCGCCCGAGGAGAATGCGCAGGATAGAAATGCGAATAATAGGAAGAGCAGGGGCTTGTTTTCGAACCTCAGCCGCCGATTTGGCTTTGATACGCAGGATGACGATAAGAATGACTCTCGAGGACAGGTGGAGCAGTTTATGGGCAACAACTCGAATTTTACCACTCGAGGCCCTGATCAGTCTGGTGGTAACGGACAATCGCAAAACGATGACGGCAAAGTGACCAACCCAGCTGTGGTCCAGCAGAATCTCTTGAATGCGGTCAATGCGACGCGAGCACACGGATCTGATAGTGTTTACTCAGAGCCTCAGGTCTCCGAGGTCAAAGAACAGGCGACATACTGCGACAAGAAGCCGGCCCAAAACATTACATTTGTGGCAGAGGCTTCAAATGGTATGAAAGTCTATGTGGCCAAAGAAATGACTGCCCATGCAGCTGCCTTCTTGTCAACAAATCTCGCTGCGATTAACTCTTTTGCATCGCTTCTGGTCGAAATTGGAAACGTCTACTCGTTGGCGCCAAAGGTGCTTCACATCTTTCATGACGAATCTGGTGGAACGATAGCATTCAACACTGGCGGAAGCATCTTTTGCAACTTCCGGTTCTTTCTGCAACTGCATGCTGCCCAGATTGATGTTCCAAATGGAGCTGGTAGGGCTGAAGCGGGCACTTGGTGGTGGGTTGTGCTGGCTCACGAGCTTGCTCACAATCTGGTTTCACTGCACAACTCTGATCACAGCTATTATACGTATGTTGTTTCCCTTGATTTCTTTTCGTATTGTTACCTTGCTAACTCTTGGACAGTGAATCGTTTATTCAGCAATACATGGGCAAGATGATGGCGAAGACGACGCAGTGGACTCAGGGAGCTCCTGCGCCGTCTCAACCGTCTACTCGACCAATGTCGCAAACAGCGGCAGTGCCTTTAGACCCTCCACCGGCCTATCGACCGGTATGAAGAACAGCCCAAGACCGTGGTTGGTTCATATGATGAATGCATTGTGTGGCGTCGATTTCTGTTTCCATTTCCTGTTTGCGAGGCGTTTGACGAATACATTGAATGATAGATGAGGGAAGAAGGAATGGTCGCAATGACATGCTGGGGGGTGATTTCCTTAGAAATGCCTTTTATGTTAGACTCTCTAATTTAGACTCATAAACTGATGATGTTTCTGGTATCTTGTCATGGAGTTGTTGGTGAATGGGGTCACACAACTGCCAAACACAGCATCGAATCGCCAAAGTGACCAACCATGTCAATTACTTACTATTAATATTTCAATTTAAAAGAATCTCTCCAATAATGATTTACAATAATTGTACACCCAGTTCAGACCTCTAATCATAGGAGCATCTGCTGGTGCAAGTTATAAGTCAAGGTCACATGCCTAGCCACGTGACGCTCCAATTCCCGAAGAACCGCCCAACCTCATCACCATCCCGGATCCCAAACTCCAGATACCCGCGCATCTCAATCTTCAAGCTCGACTCGGCCAATTCCTTCCGCCCCGCGGCCCCTGCAAAAAACAATAAATCCCACCATCCAAAAGACTCTTTTAACCTTCCCACCGAGAGTCAATTCATTCTCACAATGGTCCACCGTATTGCATTCTGGAGCTGTTTCGGTTTGTCTCTCAACTCCCCTCCCCACCTACAAAAACCCTTCGAAAGAAAAAGGCAGCCTATTCAAGAAAGGCACACTGTTGGAGAGAGGCGAACTATTTGAGAAAAAAAAAAGGCATGCTAATGATATCTTGTTTGCTCGGCAAATAGGCCTCGCCGTGCGCTTCTGGCAGGTCGGCATCGAAATGCGGCCCTTCTTCAACAAGTCGTCGCTGTGGGCGTACCCCGTGTACGCGGCGGGCGGCGCGAGCTTCGGGTACTGGCTGCAGGGCGTGGACGACAAGCAGACCGCGATGCTGAACGAGCGGAAGAGGGCGCTGTTGGAGAAGAGGGCGAGAAAGGCACAGCGGGATGCGGAGAGACAGGAGGCTTAAGATGGAGGATTTGGAGTGTCTTGATGGGAGGGGGGATGTAAAAAATGAAGGAGGGGGGTGTGTGGGATATCCGGGGATTTTTTTGTACATATAGATGGGGGAGGAGAAATGATGAGCTTTTTTGGCTGTGGTGAACCAGCGATGAGGACTCAATGGAAATGAATCAAAGCTACAGACATGTTTTGCTACCTGATATTCACGATATACGAGTGAGTCATTGTTGCAAATGTCATGATGAGAACACAATTGGCTTAATTGTTTGCTTGTTTTTTTTATTCCTTGATTCGATTTTACGTCTTTTCCTAGCTACATGCTCATGTGCCTCCCTTTTACAACTCCTCCAGCTTCCGCAAAATCGCAGGGACCGACTTGGCCGAACAAATTCCCAACTCCGTGACAACGGCCGAGATCGACTTGTCCCTCGTCGTGTCAAACAGCAGTCTAAACTCCTCATCCGTGTTCCTCTCCGGATCAATCTCGTTGTAGGTGAGCGAATCTATCGACACCCTCTCGGTGAAATTGATCGTCTCGCACAGCGAAGTGACACGCACGCCGAGATCAAACGCCGCCGTGGCGACGTCGCAGGTGCCCGCTCGCGCATACATGGCGCCGTTGCTAAACATGGCCTCTGCGGCGACGAGGACGGTGGTGGCCTCCTGGAGATTGGTGCGCAGGGCGCCAAAGTCGGGCGAGTAGGCGACGGGGATCCCCGCGGCGGCGAGCTTCTTGACGTGGGCGAGGCCGACGCGCTCAAAGGGGTCGTCGACGAGGATGACCTTGAAGCGCTTGCCGGCGGCCTTTGCCTTGAGCAGGGCGCGCTCGACGAGGTGGTGGTGGGCGTATGTGAGGATGACGTCGTCCTGGGCGATCATGTCGGCGGCGGTGTTGACGATGACGAGGTCGGCGAGGGTGATGCGCTCGTGGATGAAGCTGTCGATGGCCTCGCAGAGGAGCTTCTTGGCGTCAGAGTCGGCCATGTCGATATCAATCTTGCTGATCTGAAGCTTGAGCCATCTGATGGCGTTGCCCATGGAGAAGCACATGGGGCGGCATGCTGTGAGGTAGACGATTTGGGGGTTGAGGACGTGGGAGGTGAAGTGTCGTGAGAGCGTGGTGCCGTGGGGTGTTGTGTATGAATCGATGACCTGATTTTGTATTCTCTTGTTAGATGTATGTATCCCAGTGAAGATGACTTGATAATAGAATCTGTCTTTTACCTTTTTGAATGCCAGGAGTGTAGCTTCCAGCCGAGTGGTGCTATCACTGATGGCCATGGTGCTCATCTGCTGGCCCAGCAGCAACACAGCGGGGTGCACATCCTTGTCCGCATGTGTCAGGTTGACCCCCTTGGCCATGGCCAAATGGCTGAAGCACTCTGGAACCGACGGTTTTGCCTCCTTGGGCGCCGTCGCCGTCATGGGCGCGGCCGATCGCGGGACGGCAGTCTTTCCATGCTGAGCGCCCGCCTGCGGTCCATCTTGCTTGGGCTTGGGCTTGCCGCCCTTTGCGCTGTCGCCCTGGCCCGGCGCGCTGGCGGGCGGCTGTGGCTGTGAGACTTTTGCTGCTGCTCTCCTGGCGGCCTTTTCCTCCTTGGCCTTCTTCTTCAGCTCGGCGTTGGACAGCTTCTTTTCGCCGCCTTCAGCTGCTGCTGCTGCTGTTGCCGTGGGGGCCTTGCTCTGGTCTTTGGCGCCCTTCTTTTGGTCTCCCTGGTCCTTCTTTTCTGTTGGAGCCTCGCTTTTCGGCGCGGGCTGGCCTGCTTCTGCCGCCATTAAGAGGTTGGTTCTGAGACAGATGGGAGGATGTAGAGGCGAGAGGTCGTATCACTAGATGGATAGAGTCGTATCGGGGCCGTAGACTTTGGTCGCGACAATTGATGCTGGGAGGGAAACTGAGTGGAAGCTGTTACGTCGTCGCAAGATGAGGCACCGAAGATGCAAAAGCTCAAGAAACAAACAAATCCCGTCCAAAGAATGCGAAAGTGTGTCAGTCCATGAAATGCTGCTTGTGAGAGTTCAAAGGTGGGGTCTCTTTTGAGTCACTGGAAAAGAATCGATGGTAGAAACGGAAATGCCCCGCGCTAAAGCTCCAGACGCTGCAGCAGAAACTTTGGCTGCATTTTTCACGGCGGCGCGAGAGAGAAAGCTTGAAGTGCTTGGGATACGATATTGGATAGAGAGAGACGACTGAGTCACGTAGAGAGAGAGGGAGAGAGAGAGAGAGAGAGAGAGAGAGAGAGAGAGAGAGAGTTGATGCGACGAAGTACTAAGTTTGTGACGATGTCTTGCTGTGGACGAAATATGCGATGCTGCTCCTTCACCGGGTCAAAACAGAGAGACGCAGCAGCTCAGTTTGTTCCTACGACTCGAATATGCTGCAAGGCTACATACAAAACAGGCCACACACCGTAACGCGAGTGATGCTTCGATATCTAGAAAACCGTCCACAAAACTCCAGATGCCCAAAATCCGTCCATCATCACTGATCCAGCCGTGACGCGTCGTTCCTACGTAACCACCACTCCGTGCCGCCTCAAATCATCCCCAGCCAGAGCCTCCTTCTTCACGCCAGTCCTCCAGGGACCAACCGCAATGAAAGAGAAAAAGGGTTCTTTCCACCAAACAAGCAGAGAGTTTGTAGGGTTCCAAATATTCCCTGGCCAGGCGAACCCAGCCAGGAGTGGTCAGTGTATAGTTTTCAACTAGCAAAATTCCTCTCTCAGCTTATCGCTTCACGGAGAAGGAAAACGCCCGTGCACTTGGATGGGGAAGAAAGGAAAGAAAAGAAGAGTGAAAAAGGCGGGCGGGTGGAAGAGATTTTATAGGGCGTGGAGTGGGTCTGTGAGCTGGAGCATTAGGTAAGCCAAAGTGACAAGCTGGTGGTACTTACGGCAGGCAGCGATTCAGCTAAAGCAGGCACCAGCAGGAACAAAAGAAGTATTGATGATGTAAATGAAATAAAGAGAATGACAGAAACAGATGCATCACTCGATATATGCTTTATCTGTACAATGACAATGGCTTGATTTGGTGCATCTTAAGTACTGGGTAATTTGGTGTAAGGTGGGATATGCTACTGACTGGGGCAAATCAAATTCCGGTGTCAGATATCAACAAGAGGAAATGATGAAATCGGAGACTCTTGTAGAATCAAAGGCCAATCATACATGTACTGAATTCAATATCCATGAGTACAGCTCAGATTCAACAGACGAATGACTCTTCACCTGCTGCAATCGCCAGCATCGGCTCTCAATGCCCATAGCTTATCACCCACTTGACTCATAACCAACAGTTGGCTGCCGCAAGCTTTGGCACTGGACATCATAGCTCCGAAGTTAGCTGCTAATCACTACAGCTAAAAGTCTCTCTCAACCCACTCTGCACAAGCACAGCTCACACGACAATGCAATTATAGCCACTCTCCCATCTTTCCTCACAAGCCATGCTTAAATTCAAGCGCGCTTATTCCACCGGCCTGGCCAGCGCCATCCCGCCGGCCAAGCTCAAGTACGTGCCCACATCCGGCACGTATCCCAAGGGCTTCCTGGCGTCGGGCGTCTTCGTCGGCGTCAAGCCGGGCAACACCAGCAAGCCGGATCTCGCCCTCGTCACGTCGGACCGGCCAGCGTCGGCGGCGGCCGTCTTCACCAAGAACAAGTTCCAGGCGGCGCCGGTGACGTTTAGCCGCAAGATTCTGCAGAGCAAGGCCAATGATGGGCTTCGCAGCGTCATTGTCAATTCGGGCAATGCCAATGCCGTGACCGGCGTCGGAGGGCTGGAGGATGCGGCGAGCATGGCCCGGACGGCGGACCAGAGGGTTGGCAGCGAGGATTCGACGCTGGTGATGAGCACGGGTGTGATTGGACAAAGGTTAGTCTCAAGAAGAAGATGGCTGTTGACGAATTGGGTTGACTGATGCTCTCCCTCTAGACTCCCTATCCAGAAAATCGTGGACCACATCCCCATGGCCTATCACCAGGCCGGAGACTCTCACCGACACTGGCTGGACTGTGCCAAGGCCATCTGCACCACAGACACCTTCCCCAAGCTCATGTCTAGGACCTTTGAGCTGCCGTCTTCTCCTGGTGTCGAGTACCGCATTGCGGGCATGACCAAGGGCGCCGGCATGATGGCCCCCAACCTGGCCACCATGCTCACTATCCTGGCTACTGACGCACCCATTGCCCCGAGTCTCATGAACCCTCTGCTCAAGTACTCCGTCGACCGCTCGTTCAATGCGTTGACCATTGACGGCGACACCTCTACCAACGACACCGTCGCCCTGCTTGCCAACGGTGCTGCTGGCGGCAACGAGGTTTCGTCCGAGCAATCTGCCGACTATGAAGCTTTGAAGGACCTGGTGACTGACTTTTCCGCCGAGCTGGCCAAGTACCTCGTCCGTGACGGCGAGGGAGCCACCAAGTTTGTCACAATCCGCGTCGTGGACGGTGCTTCTGAGGCTGCCTCGCGCGAGATAGCTCGTGCCATTGCTCGTTCGCCCCTCGTCAAGACGGCTCTGTACGGAAAAGATGCCAACTGGGGCCGCATTCTGTGTGCCGCTGGATACGCTCTCATCTCACCTCCCGGCCAGCCCGTCAACGATGTCCCTGAAATTATCCCTGAGCGTACGAGTGTGTCGTTTGTTCCCACTGACGGCTCAGCTGAGCTGAAGCTGTTGGTTAACGGTGAGCCGGAGAATGTAGATGAGCAGAGAGCGAGTGAGATTCTTGAGATGGAGGACCTGGAAATCCTGGTGAGACTGGGAACTGGCGATAAGAGCATCGTTCATTGGACATGCGATTTCAGCCACGATTATGTTACGATTAACGGCGACTACAGGACGTAAGAGGTGTATAAAAATGTTACATGTATGATGGCTAGTTTCTTGGGGCAAATAAAATGGGTTGGCTGCATATGCATATCTAAAATGATTTCTATTCCAATATCAAAATATGCCCTCCTGTGAAAGCTCGCCAAATGGTCAAAGATAGCCAACCGAACCGCATCAGCGGGATATGGTGCATCACCACTATCCAAAACACAATACGCCAAACTCCAAATTCTACTTTTCGCCTTTTCTATTTTTTTTTCTTCTCCCCGCATGATCTTCCTCTCCTTAAGCGCTCAATGTACCCTTGGTGCTAGGAACCTCACCCTCCTTGCCGGCAACCCTGGTAGTAGCCATGCGAATGGCCACAGCCAGAGCCTTAAAGGCACTCTCAGCCCGGTGGTGGTCGTTGTCACCGCGCAGGCAGTCGACGTGCAAGGTGATGCGAGCGGCCTGGGCAAAGCTCTGCAGGCAGTGGGGGATCATCTCGGTGCTGAGCTGGCCCAGCATCTCGCGCTTGAGGCCCAGGTCGACGACGGCGTAGGGGCGGTTGGACAGATCGACGACGGCGCGAGAGAGAGCCTCGTCCAGAGGGGCGTAGGCGTAGCCGAAGCGGGCGACACCAGTCAGGGCGCCGAGGGCTTTGGCAAAGGCAGTGCCGACGGCGAGGCAGCAGTCTTCAGCAGTGTGGTGGTCGTCAACTAGATATTGCGCAAGGTATTGTTAGAACGATATGGCATCTTTATCACACATAAAGACAGAGGGGGAGAGAGAGAGAGGAACGAACTGTGGAGATCGCCCTTGCAGTTGAGCGCCATGCTCCAGCCGGCGTGCTTCGCCAGCGCATGCAGCATGTGGTCCAAGAAGCCGATGCCCGTGTTGATGGAAATCACCTGAGACTTGCTAGACTGCGAAGCGTGCGCGCTGGCGACCTCGAGCAGCCGGGGGTCGGTATCCTGAGGAAGCTCGCCTCCGTCGATGCTGATGGCGATCTGGATGGATGTCTCGTTGGTGTTGCGGGCGAGGGCCGCAGCACGGATGGGGGCAGAGGTGGTCATTGTGTCTGGGTTGGGCTGGTTTTTGAGTCTGCAAGATGCGAATCGATATCTTTGCAGTGAGAGTCAGTCAATTGGAGTTGTGAGAGTGTCAAAGATTATCTAGTACCTTACCTAGATGTACTCGTATGTTGGTGTTGAAGACGGCGCAGGATTTGACTCGCTCCTGTATCGGAGTTGTGGAGTTCATATTTTTCTAGGTTCGCCTCTCACTCAGCTTGTAATCAGGCCTGGAAATCCGAGTTCCCGGATGCAGCCAGTGACTGTATCGCTGGACTGAGGGGTCGTTCCGCTGAAGCTACCCCGCTATTTGCAGAGCACACCCCCTGTAGCAACCCGAACGCTTTAGGTTCAATCTCACCCCTAGCAACTGAGCATAGCGGTCCATTGCAAACAAACTTTACGCGCCTACAACAATCTCTCGCGCGTCAACCTCAGATTTGGATATTCGATATCGATACAAGCATCTCTTGCTGCCGAACCCCCCAGTCATGATACCCGGTTAAACACCTAAACGATTTGTTCTTCTTTCTCATCTATCTGTTACCTTTTTTATTGTACTTTACTTCTTCCTCGGTTATTTTCTCCCTGCCCGATGTTCCCTTCTCGATGCTAGAGGATGGAGAAGTTTCTGAGGGATTGGAGGCAGGATGCTCTCAACAAGGCACAATATGAATCGGCAATCTTTATCGGAGACAAGCTCCTCGCCTTGACCAGTCTGTGACCACCGGGCAATTCTTCATCACGGTAGGCATCTGTGCTAATGCATGCGTATCCTCAATTCATAGACGACGACAACGATGCCTTTTGGCTGGCCCAAGTCCACTTTGCGACGGGAAACTACACGCGTGCGCAATCGTTCCTCTCCAAGCAAGACCTCATCAGCCGCAACCCTGCCTGTCGCTATCTTGCCGGGCACTGTCTCATCAAGCAGTCTCGATTTGACGAGGCCTTGGCTGTCCTTGGGGAGCGCAACCCGACACACCTGATATCCAATGGCCCGAGTAACAAGCGCAAGGCCTCAAACCAGGCTCGCAGCGGCCGAAGGCGAGACGACGAGGCCGGGGACGACGAGGCGGCGACCCGACGATTTGAGGCAGCTATGTGCTTCCTCCGGGGCATCTGCTATGCCAAGCAAAATGCCTTTGATCGTGCCAAGGAGTGTTACAAGGATGCGGTTCGGATCGACGTGCAGTGCTTCGAGGCGTTCCAGCAGCTGATGAAGAATTCTCTACTATCGCCAGACGAGGAGTGGCAGTTCCTCGACAGCCTAGACTTTGATTCAATACACCTCTCGGGAGACCCAAAGTCCTCTCAGGAGGCGGCCGAGTTCACAAAGATGCTCTACACCACACGGCTTTCCAAATACAGAAATCCCGCGGCTTTCGATGCCGCCTACGATTCGCTGTCAACACACTATCAGCTGGCCGCTAACCCCGACCTACAGCTTGCCCGAGCCGATTTGTTGTACACTCAGTGCCGATACCGAGACGCCCTGACCATTACCAACGCCATCTTGGAAGAGGACAAGTACAACTTTGCGATATACCCCGTCCACCTCGCCTGCCTCTACGAACTCAAGATGAAGAACTTGCTGTTCCTGATTTCACACGACCTGGCAGACACCCATCCTGAAGAGCCCTGTACATGGTTAGCCGTGGGCATCTATTATTTCAGCATCAAGAAAATTGCAGAAGCCAGGCGGTATTTTAGCAAAGCGAGCATGATGGACGCACATTTTGGCCCTGCCTGGATAGGGTTCGCCCACACATTTGCCGAGGAAGGAGAGCATGACCAGGCCATTTCGGCATACTCAACAGCAGCTCGCCTCTTCATGGGCACCCACCTGCCTCAAATATTCCTGGGGATGCAGAATCACGCGCTCAACAACATGACTATTGCAGAGGAATTCCTCAAGACTGCCTATGGGCTGTGCAGGACGGATCCACTGCTTCTCAACGAGATGGGTATTGTGAAATACCACCAGAACAATCCAAAAGACGCCGTCCAGTATTTCACAGCAGCCCTCAAGGTGGCTGACGAGAATGACAGCGAGCCCTCAGCGTGGCTCGCAGCAAGGACAAATTTAGGACACGCTTTTCGCCGGCTGCGGCACTATAACCGAGCCCTGGCGGAGTTTGACGACGTACTGCGAGCAGGCGGCAAGGATGCGGCCATCTTTAGCGCCAAGGGTCTCATTCTGATGGAACAGAACAAGCCACAGGAGGCCGTTGTTGTCCTTCACGAGGCCCTGGCCATCCATCCGCAGGATAGCATCGCGACGGAGCTTCTAAACAAGGCGTTGGAAGAAACCGCTTTGATGGACGGCGCTGCGGAGGAGGAAGCAGAAGACTTGGCGGATTTTGAGCAACTTTTGGAAAGAAAGAAGGGGGAGGCGTCTCAGAAAGTGTATGGCAACAGACCGGGCCGTAGCATGATGGACAAGGGAAAGGGGAGAGTGGGCAGGCGGCGGACGATGTTGATTGACGATGAAGACGAAAAGGAAGAGACGAGGATGGAAATGACGGACGACGATGACAATGACGAGGTCTAGGAGGCAGTTTGCGTGTATCGGGGCATTGAGGAGGTCGCGGGCGTCAGCGTGGCCAACCTCGGGTGTTTTGGCGATTGAGAGCATTTGGCGTTTTTGTTTTGAACTTGTATGAAGCGGGAAAAATTGGCACAGTCAGACTGCATGGATGAATAGAGATAAGAAGGCATGCATTGGGATGGTTTTGGGTTAAAAATGTTTGCATTCTTTTTTTCTTTCCCGCTGTGCTTGTCAAGGGATAACTCGTATGGGACTATTGGGATATATTGAACAAGTGTGACGAATACCCAGAACATGAACCAAACACTCAACACATCTGCTGTGGTCCCAGAACCCACTGAGACTCCTAGCTTTCATGATCCGATTCTATTGCTTAAATGAGGGACAAGAGGTGGCTACGGTTACACCATATTGCTCCTCCCCGATCTTACCAAGATGTGTCGATCATGGTAAGGATCTACTACTAGTGGTTGTACGAGCTAATGCTCGGTCATCAAACAGGATTCGCCAAGTATAGCACTGATGTTGGATGTAATGACGTCTTTTCCTGCTATTACTCTACTCATTGTTCTTACTTAGACAGTATGGATATCTCACAAGTCTTGGTCGAGCGATCTTTTGCCGTGGTGTAACGTCAGTATTGCAGATCATCTCTCCCCCCTTGTGATTGTCTGAGATCACTTTATTACTGTAAGCCTTCCAGTGTTATCTATGCCAATCTCCTAGTTTTTAGTAAGTCGACTTGAATCAACTCTGTATCACCTTTGATTTGTGATGATAATTCTCCATATTAGGTACACGATGAATTCGGATCTTGCAACGATTACTGCTCAGAAACCGGTGAGTACCTTGGTAGCGTATGGCTTGAATCCTATGACTAGCTGCCCACGACCCTTCTTAGACATTTTACGCTATGGAACGTTTCTATCTGTGTAACTTTCACCATGAATGACAGAGTTGGCTTGATTTATTGATTTCGTCCGTGGTCTCTGGAACTCGCAGGATTAATTGGTAGCGAGACGGCCTACCGATGCTGTGAGACATGGGGCTTTGAATCGCCTGGCTGAGAGATGTCGGGCAGAACCTGGCAGTCTTATTAAGCTGCCAGCATCGTCATCTATAAAAGGTCTTCCTTTATCCCTTTTATCTGGTTCTTTTTTGCGTCCCTTTGTTCATCTGCATCATTGTATTGTCACAAATTGAACTCTTACATTAAGCAACAATGAAGCTCAATATCACTTATCTAGTCATTAGCCAGTGCAGTTTTAGTCAAGTGAGATTGTCTACCACTTGTAAGTGTCACCATGCTGGAGCAGATGTTGTCGGTTACAGTAAAGGATAGGTACTAATGGGACTGGGAATATAGGGCTCAAAATGTAAAGGATTGGTTGGTTCGAACTATTGTAAGCCAT